TATGGATTTCGTCTTCCTCATCTGGGATCTATTGACAAACTCCCCGAATTCTGCCAAATTCTGACTATATCTCTCCATTAGCAACCAATTATCATACTGTTCTTCCCCCATGTGAATGGATGAAAAGGGGAAGAAATGAGGGGTCGTTAATTCCCATCGTGGCGAGAGTTTTAACAGATAAGGGTAAAACAAAGGATGCTCATACTTCCGTCAAAGGAAGTGGCTCTGTTATCTGTTTTCCCACGCTAGGAAACCGTTATTTTCTCACCAAAACGAAAGAATATTTTTCTAAAAAATTTAACTTTATTTTTAAATTATGATTTAGACCCAGGGACTATTTGGATCTCACAATATTAAACAATATCTCAGAATGGGTAAAGTTTAAGAAACGAAATGTGGCACTGTGGCTTGCGTATAAAGGGGCATTAATACTATTAAATTTTGGTTCTTAATTAAAGGTCGATAGAGTGAAGATATAAAAGTGATCATGTGTCATATCTCTCAATGAATATTTTACTCATTATTAGCGTACAAAATTTAAAAAAAATAAAATTTGTCTCTACCCTCAAAGTAAACTTTTTGTCATTTCATAATAGTAAAACCTGTTAAGATGTTAGAACGTATATGGGGAAACAATTTAGTTCAACCACTTTGACACTTAATAATTAACTTCTGTGTTAAACCATCCGACTCCAACCATTCTAACCACAGAAATTATTAGGCTTCAAACAGAGTGAACGAAATCATGCCCTCCCACACAGTCTAACATACACACATACAGAAAAAACCTCGAATCTTTTGCATATCTTGAAATTTCAAGGTGTCCTGAGTCCAAAAATGTAAAAATTTGGGAAGGATAATTTTTTTTGACCGATCGCTACACCTTCCCTCTGTTATATATAACAGCCGGAAAAGTAAAAGTTATCAAATACATATTTATATATTACTTAGAGGAGTCTTTTAGCTTTGGAATAAAAAGTTTCTACATTCTATCTTTATTAGAACTCTATTTATTGAATATTTTATTATGAGGTCACGTGATGACATCAGAATTTCCTTGTCTCTTTCGGTAACAAGTCCGTCTCGAGTCGGAGTCAGTAGATTTTTATGCGACTCCACAGCCCTGGTCAATTCTAAAAGAATCTTTAAAATAATTTAATCTATACACTCTTAACACTTCTTTGTCATTTATCACAATATTTGCAATTATTGCATTCTTTCTCCTCCTCTATCTAGTGATTCTGATCTACCTTCAACTTGATCTAATTTATTCTTTAAAATCACCAACATTCAATGTTTAGAGTTATTTTTACAATTTTCTAATCTGGCAACTCTATTTTCTGATTTAAATAATCTAATTTTTTGCTTTGACACCTATCTCAGACACTAGTTTCTTTTTGATTGAAAGCTTAAATTAAACTAATATGCTTTAATTGCTTTAAAAAGTTCTGAGAGGTATACTCGCCTGAAATATTTAGTTCTTTTAGATAATGAAGATCAAAAAGTCTTGGTACTACAATGAAATGCTGAAATTTTCTCTTTGAGTGAAATAAAGTTCTAAGACAGAAATATATCTATATACTAGTTGTTCTAATAAAATCACTAGTTAATTTTTCTTCACTCATTACCAAACTCTGTAAAAAATGCACCAACATCGGCAACAGTAGGAAGTATCTCCACCCATATAACTTTAGAACAAAGATATCTACAGTTATGGAAGTGAGATAGTCTGGTATTATGTTAAAGTGGCTATGTTCCCCTTGCACTAAAATTTGAAAGTTAGCACTCCTATCTTAGAAACTACGAGAGATACAGGAAAAAAGTAAATGAGAAAGTGAAAGAGCATTACCAAATTGGGAACAAATGACATTTCACAAAAACAGATAGTGCAAATAGAAGACTGAGCTGCATAAATGTAATTATGCTGTTGGGTTGGACCCTTTGAGAATGAGTTGTAATACAGCATCTCTTTCTTAATCATTGAACAGCTTGACAAATGGTCCACACAGTTGGATGTAGGAAAATAGGAAATGTTAATGCACACTGCTTTGCATCTGTCATACAGCATCTTGCAGTATCTTTATTTGTATAGCTTACCATGATTTTTTTGTTGATCTAGTCTTGATCAGATAATACTCTTCAATCATTTGCACATTGTCATACCTGAATTTTGTTATGTCACAGCCATCTTTTGCATATGAAAGAGCTTGCATATATTGCTGCTTACATGCAAATGATGGCATCATCCGTTTCTGTGGAATAATTTTTTTTGACTAATTCAATGATGCTCTGAAACTTCTTCATTAATTCTTTCCTGGGTCTTTCAGTTTCCAAGATAGGAGCGCTAACTTCCAAATTTTACAGCTAGGAGCACTTTACTGTAACCAGTACCTCTAGATATCTTTGTTCAAAAGTTATTTGGATATCTTAGGACTTAACAGTATACAGGATGCACAGTAATTGTCAATGTGAGTGATGATATTAATTTTTTCTATCATCATCTTTTAAACTCCACTTATAAAAGGAAATTATTAAATAAATGATAACACAATTTTTTAATACTTTACAGTAGACCCCGTATAAAACGGGTTCATATAATTTGTATTCGTATATAACAGCGTAAAAATTGCGACCATATTCATATAAACACGCTAAAAGAGACTCATATAATTCGGTAAAACGTCATCACCGACTCGTGTTGCAACAGGATTGGTCGAATCTAGACCAATAGTGGATATTGCACAAACCGTTGAGTTTAAACGAGCAGCAGACCTACTAAAAACCATTTATTATTTAAAGGCCATAAAAATTATATTTATATTAATGATGTCTCCAAAGTTCAGCAAATTTTTTGCAGAAAAATAATGTATCAGGAAACACGCACACCCGTTTGATGCACCGCTCCACGACGAAAACAAGCCTAAGCAATGGTGTCGTCGAACGGTGCACACTCGATAAGTAATCCTACAATTTTTTGTTTATAGCATAGTTTATATGGATTATTCCCAAAAAAATTATACGTGTTTTGGAAATGTTCAGTCAAATTAGTCTAGAATCGATTAATTTTATGGAAGAAAACCTTTCAAACAGCCGTAGTCCGTAAACTTCATACGTACCAGGCTGTGATTGGCTCATGTATTTAAGGACTCGTAAAACATTAATTTCATAAAGAACGGAATGTATCTACCGTGTTATAGGGGGGGTCAACTGTATTTCTAAAAACCACCCATTTTCTTAAAGGTTGTAGATTTTTATATATATAAAAAAGAAAAAATTATAAGGTTCTGAACCCATTTTTTTATGAAAAAAGTAAACATTAAGTAAACATTGATCTAAACCAGTGGTTCCCAATTAGTTTTTCCTGCGTACCACTTTAAGAGAAAGCTCAAACTCGCATACCCCTTATAGCAGAAATTCATATTAAGCCATACTAATATTATAAATTTGAAGGTAATTATGTCTGTCTGTCACCTTTTCATGTCTAAACCACTGAACAGGTTTTAATAAAATTTGGCACAGAGATAGCTTACATGTTGGAGATGAACATGGGCTACATTTTACTGCGAGAAAATATCTTACTCCCACAAGAAAATTCCATATAATGCGGTGCGAAGCTGTAGGTAGACAGCTAGTGATAAATAGAATAAGTTTTTTTTTTACATTTATTACCTTTAAAATACAATTTTAATAATAACGAAAATAACATAAGGTTATTTAATTTTGATGTTACAAATGTGCACGATTTTCTTTGCACAACTTTGCAAAATCTGGTTGCTTTTTGATCAGCTTTAGTCTCGAGTCATCTTCGAGTTGAAGTCGGTTACGATGTTTAGTTTTCATGTTTGTCATGGCCGAAAATCCGCTCTCGCAGAGGTACGTTGTGCAAAATGGCAGTAAATATTTTATTGCCGCTTCGCTGACATGATAATAATGATAATTGTACAATTAACACAAATTGTGTTAATTGTACAATTTTTGTTCTTGCGTAAGAATTTCATTTAGGCATTGTCACAAATGCATTTTTTTTAAATGAAATTTCGAGATTATTTTTAGTTATAAATAAGCGAATTTGTGCATTCAACATCATTTTGTAAATTGCTGAATTTTTGATGGTCCATCCATTATTTTTTGATTGCTTCATCTTATGCATTTCAATTTTAAATTGACCGATTTTAGATTGCCGCGCGTACCACTTCACGCAATTTCGCATACCCCCAGGGGTACGCGTACCACTAATTGGGAACCACTGATCTAAACAAATAAGAACATACGGAAATATATGCAAATCTCAATATCCTTTGTTATCTCAGAACAAAGTCTAAGGAAACAAAAGCTGTCATTAAACTTTATATGACTGCAAAACAAGTAAAAAACAAATTCCGTGATTGTGTTGTTAGGGGTAATATTCTCATACTATATAGCATTAAGCAAATGCAAATAAATCATATAGCATAAAATTCTGCAGAGATGTATAATGTATTTTCTGAAAGTCAGAAAATGGACATACTGTATTTTATGATTAGTACAGCATGTCCACTTTCAGAAAATATTTATAATAGTATGTGCTACTATCAAAGTTTGGTCTATCCATAAGAATATGCAGCTAAAGAATGACTACTTACTTAGTTTGTGATGATGAGTAGAAAGGCATAAGCAAAGTAAACTGGAAGTAAATAATAGCAAACAGATCAAAATAAAAATGATTCTTTGCTAGAGTTTACTTGGACTCATCTATAACTTTATTTCATACTTAAAAAATTAATTTGGATATTAGAGAAAATGAGAAAAATCTTCAGTTCATGAATTATCTTAAGCGCAAAATATTTTTCTTTAAAGAAAATTTACTTGCTTGCTTCTAAACATAAAACAAATCATCATAAATTACATTACAGAATAACAATAATTTCAAATTAGAACCAGATTAAACTTTCATTTGCACAGTTATAAAATTTCTTACATCAATATCTATTGTTGAAATATTATATTTTATTTTGTTTTAGAGAGGAAGTTTAACTATTCTTCTCTGTGGTGAACTAGGACTCGTCTATTGTTTAGAACAAGTATTTTTGTATGGTTTCCGTGCATCGAGATTTTTTAGACAACTTTATCTATGGGATTTTTTTGGTAAATAATCTTAAAATTGAATGCAAAATATAAAATTTATTTCTAATCTTTTTTTAATTGTTTAAATTATAGTCAAAGTTAGAAATTATTTTGAAAGCAGTCTTCACGAGGACGAAAATGTCATTCTCGGATCCGTCACCTCAAACTGCCATGAACACATTGTCGTCATGAGATCTTACTGTCGACTCATAGGAAAGATTGATAAGGCCTCTCCGTCAGTAGGGAAAGACGGAAAGTTTCAATTATTTATCTGTCTGGCTGCCAGGTGAGTAATCTACAACATAATAATAATTATTAAGTCATGACTCTAAGTTTATCGTCATTACAGAGATCATCTATTACATCGGATGTTACTTCATATTGCCTCCACTCCGGTGACTGTTAGTATGTATGAAGAGCAGTCGTTTCTGAGAGATCCAAATCTAGTGACTTTTCTTGTACAAATATTAGAATCTCTCTCGGAATTTGGAATAACGTTAGAGACATCACTAACGAAAGGCATTGAACATTGAAAACAAAAAATGTACAAATTTTTGTATTATCGGATCTTAATTTTTTTTTTCTTTTTTTTATTACACTTGTACATAATTACGACCAACGTTTATACAATGTATGATAGACAATGCTCAACACAAACACATGGACCAAGTCACAAATCATTGCAAATATAAATGTGCTACTTAATTTATTTATTTCAAAATTTCAAATTCTGCACTTGAGCATCTGCATATAGAATTATGTACATTATTGTAATATGAAATATTGTTTATAATAAAAAAAAACATCAAATCTTTTCTTTGTAACTTTTCTATTATAAAAATGCACTGAAAACAAAAGTCTTTTGGTTTCAGAAACATCAAAAAATCTTAATTGAATATTTTCAATTACTTTAGAAATAAATGACTGGTTTCAATTTCTGCCCATCAAGAGTGGAGAGCAGGAAACTCAAAAAAATTGCAAGGATTTATCCTTGAGTAATTTTGGATTACAGTAGAGCCTCAAAAACTCGGCCTAATGTGGACCGAAGGGTGGCCGAGTTTGTGAAAATGCCAGGTTATCGGGAATGGGGTTAAAAAAGGATAAGTATGCGTGTTTCCTCAGAAAATATTGTACTGTACTTGTATGTATTGTTTGCTTGAGAATACAACAGAGAATAAACTGCCCAAATACTCTTAAACAAAGGAAAAGTACGTCCTTTATGAAGGCATAGAGCAGGGGTGGCCAACCTTTTGCATACCATGCGCCAATTTTTTGACAGACGAGTTCAAATGCGCCATATAAATCGAACACTTTTTATACAGTCTTACGTTCAATGTTAGGGGTTGATAAATAGAGATAAGAATAAATCTGCTTCGCTTAGGGGAGAAAAGGGAATAACTTCGCAGTTGAATTAACTTATGACAGTTTATTGAAGCACCAATTTACAATAGTCAGCAATGATCTCCTGTACGAGAGGGTCATTGCTTGATGATGGTGCTATAGCTGCCAGAGTCTTGTTTGGTGAAGATTACTCTGCACCACAATTATTGGCACTGAGAACGAGAACGAGATCAGCTTGGAATAACTTTAATCACAATAAATGTTTTCAACCATTTACACGCCTGTAAACTGATCGGAAATAAAGATCGCAAGACTCAAAATACATGCATACATTGTAATTTACTACGTGGAGAATACTCATTTTATCTGTAAAATAGACCATAACGAATTGTGCAACAAATGAACTTGCCAACACAGACTATAAAAAATTAATTTTTCTATATAATATTCTTAATTGCAAAAAAGCCAAATCTGGCAATTTTGCTCAGAACTAACTGAAGCGCCACTTGCAATTGTCCAATGCGCCACGTTTTGGCCACCCCTGGCATAGAGCCTTTACTACATGAAAATGAAAATTAATGAATACACTGTGTACAGTAATTTACCTGATAAGACAGACCCCAGAAAAATACCTTATGAGAGCTTTTATACTTTTATAAAGCTGTCTATAATGAAAATTAACTAAGGATTTTTTTGCCCTGCCAGGGTGTGGCTGAGTTATCCAGAGTGCCAGGTTATCGAGTGCCGAGTTTTCGAGGCTCTACTGTATCAATTACAAACTCTGATCTCTCGGTGATTGCAAACTATTTGGGATTATATTATGAGCATAAAAAATTTGTCATGGAAATCAATTTCTGTTTTACTAACAGTATCTCCCATCTGTATCAGTGGTACACACAATCCAGTCTACAAATATACTCGACCCATCACTGATCTAAACCAAGATTAAGATTTGACATTTAATGTTTAAAGAAATAAAGTTTGTCATCAATTTAAGTAAAATTGCTCATTTTGTAACTAAAACACTTTATTTTGTTACTACCTAATTATTTAATGATCATCATAATGCTGGGCTTCTGTTTTAAAAAAAAATGCAATTTTTAGTCCAGACTGGAAGTTTGTATATAGTTAGTCCTATCCCTGTGCATTTTACTGGTGTCTTGTCCCTATCATCATACTTCTCATGATAACAATCGAGTCATGCCAATCATCTAACTCCATTCTCGAGATTAACAAAAAACAGTCAGTCAAATAGATGACAGTGGAATGTACAGGTCTGCAATTGAAAATTGCAGCCCAATTATATAAAGATGTTACATTACAATCATTCAAAATCCAACTAGCTAGCATGGATGAAAGTACAATATATTACTCTCTTGTGTACCATCATCAAAGATTTCAGAAATTAAACAACACTGTAGTACTCTCTGCAGCACTATTTTGTGGATATAATTACACAAAATTTTTCAGTGAATTGATGATCAATTTTTAACACCACCTTCATCCATCATGTCTTCAATTAAATTTACAAAATGAAATGTACAGTAATACCTCGACTTACGCGAACCCGGAGTTATACGATTTTCAAATCTTGTTGATTCGTCTTTTGTTTGAGCACCATGCAACTCTTGATTACTCACTCCCCCCACACTATTGTTCAGCTTACATGTTTGGACGTGTCGCACGGAATCAATACATAGCTACAATTTATTTCTGTGTTTGTTAGAGTCTTTCAAGTCTCCGTAGATATATATGGCGATTTTTTGTAACCGTGAACAAATCAAAAGATGAGATAAGATTAACGAGAACATTTATTAGCTTACATACATCCGACTTGGATTTTACACAAACTGCGAAATTATACCCCGACTTATGCGAATTCAACTTATGCGGTTATCGCTTGGTCCTACCTATCACGTAAGTTTGGGATATTACTGTATTCTATGGATTAGTGTGTACATCCAGGATTCATATCTACATTGTGTGTCAACAATTGTTATGTTAGAAATTGTACCGAACAAAATTTTAAGTTACAATTGTTTGGCTATCATCACTGGTTTAGTAGAAAATATAATAAAAGTAACAGTAATGCAACACTGTTTCTAAAAATAATGTCTTTAACAATTGGCAAACACAATCATATACTGTTTTAATATACTTTTTATAGAATTATACTTTACAACTTTCCTTAAAAATAATTTAGAACCCATGCATGCAAGTCAACCAGCAAGTCAGAATTGCAACAAACAATACACATCTTCACTTTTGATTTATTCTGTACATGATACACACGGTCTGGAGTGTCCAAGACTTCCTTATGAAATTTATAGCAAGCCTAACTAATATTGAAGTTATTTTTTTAATTACTAAAACACTTAAAATAATATTGTATTTATCTAGGATGACAGAAACTTGAAGAAATCTGAAGAAACTAATTTTGAGAAATATATATGAGATAGACTAATCTTAAACTTTTCACAAATTTCCCTTGCTAAGTTGTTGACACAAAACATTCATATAAAAGCAGATTTCCTACAGAAAAATCCAGAATATCAAAACAATAAAATATTTTATGCACTACAGAATGTCAAGTTGAAAACTCCATATGGTATCAAAGCAGGCAATTCATTTAAACACCATCTGCACATTTAAAAAGTTCTGGTATTGGACTGGAATAAACAAACTTCCAATGCAAACCAGAAGTTGTGTGATTTCAATTCAAATGTTTTCCCCTGAAAGAGTTAATGACTGGCACAACAATGTTGCTAACAGGAAAAGTATACAGGTATACCTCGACTTACGTCGTTCCTGATTATACATAGTTTGTCAAAAAAGTATATGGAAAAATAAAAATTAAGTTTAAGTCATTTTATTCGACTTTACGTCTGTCTGCCACAAATATTGAAGTCATAATATCACTAGAAAAATGTTTAAAAGCACATAAAATCATATTAAAATATATACATTTACAAGTATGTACTGTATTTACAGTACATGCATTCGTAAATTTAGATTACTTTTTTTTGTACTATATTAATTAATTAATTAAAAACTAAAATTTATTTGTTTGTAAGCTTAAAATAGATCCTTATTAACCACACATTATTAAAAATGCATTAATAAATAAAATACAGAACCGGAATTGGCAATTTATGGTTTAGCCTAGTGACAAGTAGATTTGGAGACAAGTAAATTTGACTTACGTCGTTTTTCGATTTAAGTCGTTCTCCTGGGACCAATTATTGACGTAAGGCGAGGTATACCTGTATATTTTAAATAAAATAAATTTAAAAATGATTAAAAATTGCAGTCTGGCATTGTGATGTCGTCACAAACAATTTCTTGTTTAAAATGTTTTCATATCAATACCGCACCAGTTCTGGAACTTTTTGAATGTACTATAATTATTAGTAATTTGTTCTACATTATAAACGATTTAAATTATGAAAATTGCTTACCTGTCTTGCAATTTGTAATACTTTATAAAAAGTGTTCCAAAATTTAGGACTGGGCCTTAGTTATATATAAATTAAGAATTCTTAAATCATCTTTAAACTGGCATTTCCTTCTTTAAAAGAAAAATCATCAAATATTTTCCACAAAATTTTTATTAATCATCATGAAAGTATAACAAATACATGAAAAATATTACAAAATCGTTTTACTAATAAATAAAACTTTTAGGTAAACAAGAAAGTCTTGCTGGAAACCTTTTCTTGTAATTAATCTCTCATACATACTGTACATACACATACACGTGCACACATCCTACAGAACTCAAACTTTCCATAAATTAATCTTTTAAACTAATTAGTTTAATTTCTGGCAAAACTATTTTAACAGAATCAGATCTAAGTATAAAATCTTTTTTGAATTTTTTTCTCATTCTATATATTACAATTTTTATACACATGATCAGTTTTCACCCTCTTATAAACCGATATCTAATGCCTTGCTTTAATTTTTTACAAAAACAAAAATATGATTATAACATCATTGAATTTTTCAGGCACTGAGTCATCGATTATTTATGTACGATTGCTCGATCAAAATTCCATTAAAAATTATTGCTGAAAGATTAAATTCTATAAATTTTGATAAGCCATATGAAATTTAAAATGTTTTCCCACATTTGGGTGACCTAATTATATATGCAAAATCTTAAACAGATGAAGAAACACACCTTAAGTATATAAAGAAAAAAGTTTTAACTATAATAATCTAAGGGATATACAATAGAGCATCATTTATCCGAATCAATTGGGGACTGGGGACGGGTTGTTTGGATAACCGATTATGTACGAAAAAATAGATTAACCTATCCCATGTTGAAATTTTTCTCTATTGCGTGTCACTTCGCGTTGAATTTTCGTCAATGTTAAGCCTAACGCAAACTTTTTAAAATAATAATTGTGGTTATTGTATCATTAAAAATCATTTCTTTATTTTTTACAAACAATATAATTATATTGAAAAATATAAAAACCAAAAAAATATACTTTAGAAGTTGATCTATTATTAAAAAGATTCGATTCAGCAGGACACACAGTCCTCAGAAAAATACCACATCAAAGTGCCAGTGCTGCCAGCTAAAACACACACCAACAAAAAAAATATTGGAGTAGCCCAAGATATAGTCAAAGATTGCAACGCCAGAGCACTAGCGAAAATTTAAATTTGCCGACTGGAATGCTTTCGGTTAACTGACGTTTCGGATAAATGACGCTCTACTGTATATTATGTAGCCTCAAAAAGAAAGTCTAGTATTGTTAATTTGGGTGTGGTGACGATGATCTCACTCTATGCATCATTATTTTGGTGGAAAATAGAGCAAGTAATAGTGGCAAGGGACTATAAAAATTATTTCTCGAGGTCAAGTTATTTACATAATTCTAGAATCTACAGTTTATTAAGTTTCACCTGTATAATATCTGTATAAAATCTATACAAATTTTTGAATAATAACTGTCATAATTTTATAATTACACATTAGTCTTACTTTACAGCGAGATTAAGTAAAACATTGCAAAATTAATAAACAAGATCGACAACAGAAAACAGCATACTTACAATTACAAAAATTGCTAATTTCAAGTTTTCCTACTGGAAAATCTACTGTTTACTTACTGCACTATGCTATTTAAATACGAAGTAAAAATCAAGTTTTTAAAATTTCCTAGAAATATAAATATAATTAAATCTTACAAGTTTAAATGACCAAACACAAAGTGTTATTGACTACTCTTGTTTTAATTTATATAAAAATTTTGATCTCTTAATTTGAATGTTTTCAGTGTCTTAATTATTTTTAAAAAACAGCTCTAATTTATTAAAATAAATAAATTTTTTTTCTTTTCTTCTGGTAGAAAACAGTATAATACAGGGATGGCAAACCTTTTTGAGCCCATGTGCCATATAGTAAGCATGGTTTTAAAGATGTTTATGCATGCCAAAGTTTTAGACTTCAAATAACGACATTTAAATAAATTAAACGAATATGCTTTAATTAGAATAAATGTAAAAATCCTGACTGAAAAAAAGGGTGATTGAAAAAGACAGATGATAAATCGAAATTGTATGATAAGTTACATGCCACTTTGGGCATGCATGCAGTAGATTCACCACCCCTGGTATATATATTTATATATTTTAAAGCATTAAAATAGATTTTTGGACCGAGATTGAATTCATTTTTAGGTAACTTCTAAATATAAAATCAATTGCAATCTATTTTAATCTGGTTAATTCAATTAATGTACAATTTTCAAATTGTTTTAATTAATACCCTGGTGAACTGCAAAGATTGCTTTTAGTTATCTCATATTTTTTAAACTATTTCAAAGTAAACGATTCGTTAATTTAGAAACTGCATTTAAAAAATGTATAATAAATTTTCTTATCTTATGTAAAAGCGAAATTCTTTATGCTTGTTCTTTATCATTCTTAACATTTGTTAATTAATTTCTGATGGTAATAAGATAAATTACTAACATTTCTATAAGATAATTCCGCTTTAGTCGAAAAATAACATCACAATTCTACATACAGAGTTCGTACATAAAATATTTTTTATATTTATTCTTTGCTTTTCTCCACAATAAAACGCAAGGTCTTATTAGTAAATCAATAAATAGAATAATACACATAAAGTTTTAAGATGTTTAAAATTTATAGGTGTTTTTAAAGAAATATGAGCNGAATCCTGAGTTGTTGTAGTGATGCTTCACGAGCCCTCATATTCATCTACAAATTTTGTTTGTAGGAAAAAACATATAAAAAAAAAAAAAACTAAAAATCTTGATGAGTTTTATTGGTCCATTAATTTTTTTTTCAATTTATTAATAAAAAAGGTATTAGGAAGAGGAAAAAACAGTCTGTCTTTAGCAGATAAAGTCAGAGCTTCTCAGCAGAAGTATGCATTGCTTCCAAAAACATAATTCAAGAGCATTCTTGATGTTATAAAAATAAGAATAGAAATCAGCACCCTTAATTTTAGCCAAATATTGTGACCACAGGACAAACTTTTTACTTTTTAAGAGTGTAAAATAGATTATCGTAATTAGTCTACATTACTAAATCTCTCCTGTTCTTAGCTACTTAAATCACATTATGCAGCTGTTAAATATAGTAATGCTAGAAAAGTAATTAATTTCTTAAAAACATTACTGCAGAAATATTAAAAATTTTTCCAAGAGGATCAAATGATATAATTAAATATATCAGAAACTGCTTCTAATATCTTTAAGGATATGTAGAGTTAACATTACTTGCATTTTTATAAAATGAAAATAGATCTCGACAGAAGATTGTGCCTGCAAGTCAGCCAAATTTATAAACATAAGAATATATTTTCTTTTCATTTATAAAAATTTGTATAAAATAGCCTTTAGGAAAGGAACAATGCAACAATCAACTTTTCCCTATACTTTCTTCTTTGGACTTTGTACAGTCTTTCTCGTGGTTTGGCCAATCTTTTTGCTGACAGAATGTTCCACAGTAAGTGACTTGATGACAACTCGTACATTCGAACAAAGCTTCACGGTTACAGTTGGCACATTTCTGAAAATACAAAAATTAAAATTCTATCTGCGAGAAAGCAAACTCAAAAACTAATTCCTTCGCTTACTTTAACAGTTTCGCTTCTCTCCATTACGACTCCTTCTAATTTTTCTTTTATTTCTTCCTTTGCATGTTCTAGTAATTGTTGCAATGCAGCATCCTTTTCATTTTTAACTTCTAGAATTGCTTTTGATAAATTCACTTGTGCTTCTATTCTACAATTGTTAATTGCCTGAATAATATATTTATAATATTAATTTTCTTAAAAAGTATTCAAATTAGAAAAGTTTTAGAATATGATTTTTCTATTTTGTATTGTCATTTTTTCCTTTTGTGGGAATTCTGATATTCCATTGTTTGCAATTTTTATAATTAACTTAATAATTCAACTTTTACAATTAGAGTTTAAAAAATGCACAAAAACATAATAGTAATTTAGCAATGGAAATAAATGGAAGAAGTGTGACTATTATACCATGGAAAATAAACTTGACATTATAAAGCTAAGTACGTTAGGTGAAAAAACATGTTTGAAACACCTGTTACTAAAACAGTAGTGAGTGGTGAACAAGCATACTGTATTCTATTAAGTATATTAATTAAAGGATCAAGTTCTGACAAAGTGTAGTTATTCTGTGTACAAATGTACTTTCTAGGTTAGTTTTTGACTCACAAACATTTCAACTTAACGATAAAACCTTGGGACCTAACCTATTCGTAGTAGGGAAGCATCTGTATTGTCATTTTCTCTTAGTTAATGACGATTTCAAGTGGGATTGATAAAGAAAGGATTATAATTTTAGATTAATGTGGCATATCAATATTTATCTGCAAAAGAGAAAAATCAATTTCAGCAGAGTTTTGTTTAATGTAGGATTAATATAAGCATATTACTGTTTTTGCATATGGCATGTGGTTAGCTCCTTGGATGTATAGATGTATAGGAATAGTTCTAATTATTCTTTTTATAATGAAATTCAGTATTTGTAATAAAAACATAAGTAGCATATTTTAATGTTTTTTGTTGCTGTAGATGGTTGCATACATGTCTAGGCAATCATCTGAGACTATTTAGGATGCAGCATGAATTTATATGTAATTTCATTTTATGGAGTAATTGCTGACATACAAATTTTCACATAAAATAAGACCATACTGTATAAATATTATCTTAATTTTGAATTAAATATATATTTTGTCACCGTACATAAGTATATCACAAGTCTTATCAACGAAATCAGCATTATACAAGAGAATGTCTACTTTAAAATTGATTATTCTCATAACCAGCCTACTTTAATACTGTTGTTTGATATAAAAAGTATTGTTAAGTCTGTTATAATAAAAGTAATTTTAAATTTAATATATACCTCTGCCTTCTCTTTCTCCATCTGAATCCTGAGTTGTTGTAGTGATGCTTCACGAGCTGCAACACCCTGCGATCTAACTGCTTCTACTTGCTTTTGTAATTCCTGAACTTGATGAACTAAGTTTTTTACCATCTAAATAATTTAATTTTAAGAAATTTGTCTTAATACTATATATCTTTTATTAAAATTTTTATAAAATAACATTTACCTCCTCCAATTGCCACCATTGCCTTTGTTCACTGAAATCCAACTGGGTGGATGCTAAACGAGGTGTCTGAGGAGTGCTAACAGGAGTTACAATTACTGATTCTGCTAAAATGTAACAAAAATAATAGCATATAAGATATTTGATCTATCAATGATTTATCTGATAACTGTAAATACTTAAAGTACACATCAATCTCCATAGATCAGTGGTTTCCCAACTTATGTTCCACGGAATCTCAGGGTTCTGCAATAAAATTAGATTTCGAGCTTATGTATGTAATGATGCATGTACTGAACATAAAATTTATTTACATAAAGTTTCAAAAATTATTAATATTCCATAGAAAAAGGGGACCTATGCTTTCTGCATGGCTCTCATTTCTAGAAAATAAAATCCATTGAATCTAATGGTAGAAGAATTGAACCACATATTTGATTCTTTGTGTTTGAAAACTAAAGTGTTCATTCTTATTGGAAAAACTGTTGTTGCCCAGAGAGCAGCAGTATTCAAATACTTGAGTGTTCATTTAGCAATTCATGAAAAAAACAAAACAAATATATTTTATTCTCCTACTAGTTGAGCTACCACTACATCTGTAAAAATTGTCTTCAAATTAATTTATAGCTTGAATTAGTATTATTTCCTTTTCCATTATAAATCTTTTTTTATATATTCAATAAATCATTTTTGATTTGTTTATAAAAACACAGTAAAACTGTCAGATTTCAAAGCTTTTCATCAAGGTGAAAAGGGTTCTGCAATTAGAGTAAATTGAGAATTATTGCTATAAATTATTTCTTAAAATATCTAATAGAGAAATCAACAAAAAATCCTATCTATTGAGCCCCAATATATTGAGAATCAGAATATCTGCTAATTCTCCATATACAGGGAACTGTTGATGAGTGGATTAAATGGTTACCAAGCACCATAGATGGATATGAGGGACATTTGCTTTAAAAATATCAACATCAATGAACTAATAAGCATGCTTTGATGACAAGGTCATAACACAGTGGCTGCAGTCACTTGATCATCAGGAGTCATCAAAAAAATAAATGCTTCCTTTTTGTAAACAACACAGTCTTAAATCCTAACATTGAACTTGAAAATGTGAAATTGATTTTTCTGCCATTCAACACAACTGCTTTGTGCCAACCTCTCAACCAAGGAAGCATTAGAAACTTTAAAGTGTTTTTCCAACAATGTTAACTTCTACATCTTTAGAAGCAATGGACAGTTTGGACTAAAATGAGGATATGACACTGACTGTACTGGATGCAAGCATCTGGGCTGTTCAAGCACTCAGAAAGATGCAACCCAACAAAGAACTGCTTTGCAAAATAAGCACCACTGGCTTTTGCAGTAAAGAAAGTTACAATTCAAAGCAGTCTGAAAATGAAATGGAAACTGAGATTGAATCAGCACCACAGGAGGTTGCTCCAGGCATAAGTGCAACTGACTTCATAGCTATGGATGACATCGTCCTGACTGAAGATGTCTCCATCAACAAAAGAAATTGCACCAATTTCATTCTGTACAGCATTTGCTCACATTTAAGAATTAAAACAATTTTCTTTCTTTACAGAAAATTGATGCAATTGGTTTAGAACTCTCAGAACAAATTGAAAGTCAGTTTTTTGAATTGAAGTTACATTGTACAATTCAAAATCAATTTATGGATTCTTCTGATTAAATGTAAGACTAAATGGGAAAGTATTTTTGTTTTTTAAACTATTATTTTTAATTTCTTTTAATTCAGAAATTATTGCACAAAATTCAGAAAAATGCATTTAATGTCTTAGTAAGAACATTGATAGATGTCTGCTATTAGGTAATGACATAAAGTCATTACCTAATAGCAGACATCTATCAATGGACCTTTTTTGATCCACTATTAGTAAATTCTACTTTAATTAGAAATAGAATGAAAATGTTAATATTTGTTTCTGTATTTTATCGAAATGTATTATATTTATCCAAAAACATTTTAGAATAAATATATATTAAAATAAATAGTATTATAATACAGTAGACCAGGGGTGGCCGACCTTTTGCATACCATGCGCCAATTTTTTGACAGATGAGTTCAGATGCACCATATAACTCGAATACTTTTTATACAGTCTTACGTTCAATGTTAAGGGTTGATAAATAGACATAAGAATAAATCTGCTTCGCTTAGGGGAGAAAAGGGAATAACTTAATCACACAATTGAATTAATTAATTTATGACAGTTTATTGAAGCACCAATTTACAATAGTCAGCAATGATCTCCTGTACAAGAGGGTGGTTGCTTCATGATGGTGCTATAGCTGCCAGAGTCTCGTTTGGTGAAGATTACTTTGCACCACAATTATTGGCACTGAGAACGAGATTAGCTTGGAATAACTTTAATCACAATAAGTGTTTTCGGCCATTTACACGCCTGTAAACTGATCGGAGATAAAGATCGCAAGACTCAAAATACATGCATACACTGTAATTTACTATGTGGAGAACACTCATTTTATCTGCAAAATAGACTGTAACGAATTGTGAAACAAATGAACTTGCCAAGACAGGCTATAAAAAATTTATTTTCTATATAATATTCTTAATCGCGAACAAGCCAAATCTGGCAATTTTGCTCAGAACTAACTGAAGCGTCACTTGTAATCGTCCAATGTGCCACGTTTGGCACATGCACCACGTTCTGGCCACCCCTGCAGTAGACTCTCACTAATCCACTCTCTCAATTATTTGCCATACTCCAAGGGCAACAGCCTATGCACTTTTATTTCCATGAAAATGCTAATCGTGTTACATATCCCATTTTCCTGTTTACTCTTGTTTCATTCCTGCACACAGTATTGCATTTTGGCATGCAATATTATTTTCCACCTGCTTCAAAAAGAATTGGTATCAAAGGGCAAAAAGTCATGTTATTTGTGGCCTTCAGACCCATACATTCTCAGAAATCTGGAATTCTCTTTGCAAAAAATGGCCTGATTAACAAGAGTCTATTATGAATATATATTCTGACCATATTTGGAATTAAAGACTAACTACCAAAGTATAAATATTTTTGCTTACCTGCTCCATCAACTGTAGCAGTAACTACTTGAATAGTTTCACTGGCAGACAAAGTAGGAGCCAAAGTAACAACCATTGCTATAATATAAATATGTAAATCAAATTTAATACTATAGTTTTTAGAAAAAAAAAAAAAAAAATGTAATTTTATGATGTTTAAAGTTCATTAGTACAGTTTTTAACAATGCAACTTTAATGATATGAAATTTGAGATAATAAAATATTGCATTCAAATTCATAATTTTCATCTAATATAACTCATATTTGTTAAATCTACTTTATTATTGTATGTTATACAGGAATTTTATTAACCGTGATGTCTAATTTAACTTATTTTAATTGTTGTTTTACATAAAAAACTTAGGTTTGGTGTTCAGAAAGAAATTCTTGAAAATGTCTGTCTTCCCTTGCTGGCTGAAAAACCAGTATGAATCTTAAGTTTTTGATTAGTGATTGACTTTTCTTAGAACTTATATCTTAAATAAATATTTATTCTAGCAAACAGCAATCAACTGCAAAAATAATCATAAAATATTTTTTATACATATATATCATTTTGACTAAAATTTTAATGATGGTTTCATTACAATATAGAAACAAGAATTTACACCTTCAAATGGACTCCAACAACAAATTTTAATGAAGCAAAAACATTTGCAACTTAAGTTGACAGATCATCAGTTGAGCATTCAAAAAATAAAACAGAATAATCTTTTACTACTTTTTGAACAATGATTATTGCTTGCAGAAGTTTATTAAATTATCACAATATTTGTTACATCAACTTATAATTTATGCAGTTGTTCTAGAACAGTGGTGCCCTGGACCAAATCCAGCATGTGAATATACAGTCGATCCCCCTATAAGATCATTGATTTTTCCGTTTTATCTGAATTACATGTTGTACGAGTCACTTAGATTTTACAAATATGTGAGCCGTTCACAGCCCCGCACACGTATTTGTAAAATCTAAGTGACTCGTACAACATGTAATTCAGATAAAACGGAAAAATCAATGATCTTATAGGGGGATCGACTGTATTTGACATATACTTAGAAGAAGCTTTGGAGAAGAACAACACTGTCTTCTGCTTTAGAGAAGAACACCGGTTACAGGCAGTAAAATTGGGTAATTTATCTACTCTGGTGTTAATATTTCTTTCTAGTTTATATACTTAGAAATGATAGAAATAAGCCTACTTTTGGTATATATGTGTTATTGTGAATGACTGATATCTGGCGAATGTCAGCATTCACACAGTCATTTCGTGTATATACGAAATATTTGCTAAATATCATTATTTCTCACTTACACCGGAAAATGTCGACATTCAGCATGCACTGATGGTGAATGTTGAATAAAAATATTTTTATTATGTTAAGACAAAAATGCAACTTTTTAATATGTCAGAATAGGAGAAAACTTAAGTAACAGCACATGTAAATAAACTGTTGAACCTAAAACAAACAGTACATTCTTAATCATTAAAGAAAATAATACAATAATAAACTTACACATAAATTATGTGATTAACATTAAACAATCTTATTTATTGCAACAACTTAAACTGTTATGGCACTTTAAATTTAATTGCACAAGAGTCCCTTGCTTTTACAACTGCATTTATTCATGGAACACTTCTTTTTGCAATGACAATGTGTATAGTCTTGTCTTCCACTTTTCGAATTAGCTGCAGCTGCTTCTCTCAGCAATATTTCTTGAGAAGAAATCTCATCTATAGAAAGTAACTTTTCTTTACAAATTACGAACTGGTTACGGGTATAGAGCTGCTTGAGGGTACCATTTTTGTGTGCTAATTTATAAAAGTCGGAGTCTTCTATCCCAACAACAACAGCCAACACATTTCGGGCATCTGTACAACCACGGTCGACATCAGGGACTTGTATTCGTACGGTATAACCAATTTGAGCAGAAGGAAATGTTGAAAGAATTTGGTGACAGACTGTTGCCTCTCTGTCGACATCGGCTTCTCTGGTGTCGTTTCGACCTCCACCAAAGCTTATCTATGCTTGTTGACATACACTAGTGATTGTTCGAATGTATAATAATATAACCAAATATTCGGTCTTTCACCAACGTATTTTGTATGTGTCAACATTCACCAGAGAATGTCGGCATTCTCTAATTTCGGTCTTTCACAGTAACATATGCAATATACAAAATGTTTATGGCTCACTTATCTAGAATTTACTGTATGTGCAATTTGATAAAAAATTTGGACATCACCGTTCTGAACGAAAAAGCTTATTCTAAAAATTTAATACTGAATATTATGATTTATTGTCATCTTCATTTAGAAGAACAGAATTGAATTCCACATCTTGGAGGTCTTCATGAATTAACATAGGGTGAATTATGAGATTTTAATAACTCTTATCAATTATAGTTGCATCTTCCATGTGTAACAGAGATACACATGGAAGATGTGTATCTCTGTTACAGATGATGGTAATTTATTTAGTAATTAGCCTTAAAACTAGCCCGATGGATTTACGGCATATGTCACTAATATCATCTGTACTTATAGTAGTATGTTTTGAATTAAATCAAGAGTTAAAAATTACTTTAAGATTTTTATAAATTTATGTTATTTAATTTAATAATTTTAAACATTTTGTGCTTTCATTTTTATTCCTTTTTTGCTGTTTGCATGTTTTTCTTTTTTTCATTAAAAATATCTTTCATTTATGGGAAGAAAAAATACAATGTTTTGCATCTGGGGATATGGAATAAAAGTTTTGTCATCATGTCTATATGGTAAAGTGAAGCAACTAGCTGTTCTGAAACAAAAAATGACTAACACTTACGTTGGAAGAAGTAAATGTCTATCAGCATATGTGCTGATAGACATTTACTTCTGCTTATGAAGCAACTGTTATCAATTGTTTTATAGCAAATTTGTATTAAATTATGTTATGTTAAATGGTAGGTAAGTATATAAATAAAACACATGAATCTTTTATGATAATTATTAAAATGTATTTTTTAATTATCTTAATAAAAAGTAATTCAAATATTGAGTAGTATAATTTCATCATATTAAATACAAATCACAACAGTGTTTGACTACAAATAGTTCAATTACTACTGACACAAAGTATTAACAATGTAAATTTGAAAAAATTTTGTGAGTATAATGGAATTACATTCATTTTAAAGGAATATCCTGTTATCAATCATATATATGTATATACTGTATATAATTGTTGATAACAGAATGATCCTTATGCTGCACTATAATATTATATAATATTACAGTACCAGCATAGAAAAGTATAAGTTGTGTGTGTATAATAATGACAGTATTAACTGAGATGCAATTTGAAAAATCTGTAGATTATAAATTCCCACTCGTCCATCTGTCTGTCCTTAACCTAAAGAATGGTGTTAGATAGATGAAAATTGAGACCAGATATGGAAAGCTTAGGGGCAGAAGGCTCCAATTAACTATACACAAACTTCTGCTTTGGGCCAAAAATCACATTATTTCAATTCAAAAATTTTTCCTGAATGCAGTTAGACCAGCATTACTTTATTGTTAACAGGAAAAGTATGATGTACAGGAGCAAGATACTAATAAACTTAAGTGCACTGTGATGAAAAATTGCAGCCAGCATTGTGATGATGTCACAATAATTGCTCATTATATTTTAAGTCTGTCTTGTATTCTGCTTCAATTTCCAGGTTCTTCAGAGAAATGCTTCACAACTCTATTCTTTTAAAACATTATTAAACTTTTCTCATTTGAAACTTTTAAATAAGCAAATGGGGGTTTATTCTTCAAATTTGTGGCTAATTTCACTTAACGACTGTAAAGCAATCTTATCATCCAATTTAATAAGTTTAAACTAATTAGATCATAACAATTCATTTTTGAAGTCTTTTTGAATGTTCTTGATTGAGTATTATATCTTCACTCCTTAGCTAAAAAATTTTTGAATGCTTACTAAATATGCTTCATCTAAATTCAAATCATTTCATATTCAACTGTAGATACATTTCACATTATTCTGTTCACGTCAATTTTCAAACAACTAAATCAACAGGAAGATTGTAGACATTGCTACAATGATTTTGACAAATGGCATAGAAACTATCATTGAAATAATGATTTATCATCAATACATTACTTCTTTATGCTTTATTTAATATTACATCGAAATTACATTACTTTGTATCTTTTACAGTCATATATAAATATTGATTAAAATATAAATTTGACATATTAGTAGTATTTTTGACAATGCCTAAAATACTACTAACATTACCTAAATCAAAATTACATTTAACAAAATATTTAAATTTATGACTTATCACACAACTAGTTATTATGAATATTCTAAAATAAAGATTAATAAATAGTTTTAGACTATCAATGCACGATACAAATCTCTGTTTGAACTAAACTGATTTATGATTAAAAAAAACTCATTTCTTAAAATTTAATTTTTTTAATTTAAAATATTAAGCATTGTTTAAATTTTGGAAGGAAAAATGAATAATTTAAAAGAAGAAAAAGGTCCCTTTTACTGGAATTTTATTGGTAGAATTCTAATATATGAACAGAGTAGGAGCTTTTTTTCTCATTAAATTGTGTCTGAAATTGCTATTTTTTGAAATGTTAGACTTTATTGCATCTGACAATTTTAACATTTTTAAACATATACAATTTAACCTACTTAAAAACTTTAGAATAGAATTCCAATAGAAAAATGTCTGTCTATTATTTTTTAATATATATTAATAATATTTATGTAAAATTCAAAGTTCAAAAATATAGCACAACTTCTATTTATATTCAATTCAAAAGTTAAGAATAATGTTCAAAATTAAAGTTAAAGAAAAGTTAATTTAATAATGTTCTAATTAATTTCATGTGACATTTTTTATTTCTGTGACACAAAAGTGGAATCAAATTCAAAATACATCTTGCATAAGCTAAATACTGTTTACAAATACATAATAGTATTGACAAAATTATGATATTTACTTAATAAGCCAAGTTCAAGTGAAATTATTTATTTTTTTTTAGAATTTTGAATGTACTTTAATCAAAAAGTATGTTATAACGTGTTAATGTGTTATCTATATATGCAAATATTTGATGTTACAAAAAGAAAGCTATGTATGTTCAGGAGTTGTCTCAGCACTTGACTGACTTTCTGATGCTGTCTGATATGCTAAAGAGGAGAAGATTTTTTTTGAATCAAATTGTGATGGGTGACAAATCAGGTATTGTAACTTTGAGCCAGAAGAGAAAGCTGTTAGAATATGGTGGAAGTACTCATTGCATAAAAAAAATTAAAAATATAGGTGTCATCAGGTAAAGCCATACTATCTTCTTAGATATGGATAGCTTGCTGTTGATGCTGAAATTCAAAAACTTGCAGTCATCATCAATACAAAACACTGAATAAACTATCCTTAACCTCCATGCAGTGATCAAGAAAAAAACCAGGAAAGTTAACAAGCATTTCCTTATTCTGCAATGCATTTGCACATTATTGGGTAGATTTAGAAGCTACTGCAGCAAATGTACTTGGAAATTTTATATATATTTGTCAAATAGTTAGGATTTTCCACCATGCAATTTTCATGTGTTTGTATCTTTCAAGGAAGCCTTAAAAGACGAGTGATGGCATTTTATATTTACTGTTAATTAAAATGATGATGATAATTTCCCTAAATATTCTATTTAAATTTTATACAGTAATACCCCGAACTTACGCAATAGGTGGGACCGAGCAGTACCGCATAAGTCAAATTTGCGTAAGTCGGGGTATAATTTCACATATAAATACATACAAATAATTTTTAATTGGGGCCGGAGACTAAACAAAACAATAATTTAGAAAAAAATGTTTAATAAAATCTTAGATAATACATATGTATAACAAATTAGGCCTATATTATTTTACAATTTTTCACATTTACTTGATTATCATGCCATAATTTTAACATTGTTTCCATCTCAGCAATAATACCGTGACGTTTACAAATGATGCTTGAATTTAAAGATTGAGCATTTTTCACAGCTTCGAGAATTTTTTCTTCACCTTTTATAATTGTTCTGACTGTTAATTCTGGCGGATCAAACTTCTTTGTCAATTCACAAATTTTCATTTTTGTATCGAAGTCTTTAATAATGAGTACATTCATAAAGTCAAACGAGTTAAACGCATTAGTAACAAATCGTTCAAAAAGTCTAATGAAATAGGAATAACGATGACGTCACTCTCGTTTAACTCATTCGACTTTACGAATGTACCCAATGTTAACTTTACATTCCAAAGATAAAGTTTTTCTTTTCTTGTTTGATGCAGAAAAATTAGTTCTACTTCGTTTGGATGATATAAAGAGTCTCTCAAGTCTCCATAGATATAACAAACACAGAAATATATAACACAAAATAAATTGTAGCTACGTGTCGATTCCACACGACACATCCAAACATGTAAGCTGAACAATAGTGTGGGGGGGAGTGGGTAATCAAGGGTTGCGTGGCACTCAAAGAAAAGACGAATCAACGAAATTTGAAAATTGCGTAACTCCGGGTTCATGTAAGTCGGGGTAGCGTAAGTCAAGGTATTACTGTATTGAAAAATATTTGATTAAAAAATCTGAAAGAAACTTATTAAAAATTTTTTTTGAATATGTAAATATAAATGTGATATATATATATATATATATATATATATATGTGTGTGTGTGTGTGTGTGTGTGTGTGTGTATAAGCAATGCATTTATGTAAAAAATTTTCAATAAACTAGCAACATAAGCTGATAAATACTTCATAAAACTTGCAATATCACAGTGTTTATAGTCAATAAACTGTAATAAATATTTTGTGAATATTTTAATTCATTTAATAAATCATTTCTTTTATCTATAATATATTATTATTTTTATGGGGAGTTAAAATACCATAAAAATTCTGTTTATAAGGGATTGTAAACTATCAATATATTTTTATTCTCATATCAAAACTCACATTCATTAGCAGGTGGTGTTTCTCCTCCAGATTTAACACTTTCTTGTGATAGAAGACGTTTGATTGATCCATCTTCACGTTTTCTCCTCTTATAAGGTGTGAATAACCGGATAGGTCCACTCTATTGAATATAATTCAGCATTCTTTTAAAATATTGGTGTATGTTTGTATTCTTATAGTATGTTTTGCTAAATTACTTACCACAGTACCTCCACTCACCATCGTTGTATCATCACAACAAGCTGTACAAGTGCAAGAAGTTGCATGTGGCTGGAGTATACCTTCTTCTATCAGGCACTGCAGAGTACGTCCAGCATACCTAATACTCCTTTTCCAGTCTTTACTATTTCCTCTTCCACAGAGTGCTTCAAATTCCGAGGGTGTGTACCAATTTTCGCCAACTTTAATACACCGACCACGTCCCCCTAAATAAGAATTCTAAATTATTTAATATTTGAATATTTTAACATTTTTCAGTTAAAATGTATATAATTAAAAACAAAACTTTAATACCTTCTACTACCTATGAAGTCAAATTTACACTTAATTCTATATTCAAAATTTTCATTGATTAATAAAATAAGCATTATTGGACTGCATATATAATTCAGCATGAATCTCAAACTGAATCAAAAATTAATAAATTATTATTGTCTAGCACAGGGTTGTCCAACCTTTTTTCCTAATGGTCCAAATTAGAAATTTACATATACAGTGGTACCTCAGGATACGTAATTAATCCGTTCCGAAACTGAGATCGTATCATGAAAATGTCGTAAGGTGGATCATCTTTTCCCATACGATTACATGTAAAACCAAATAATTCGTGGAGTCAGAGTCAGAAATAAGTTCATTGCTAGAAGTAATACATTAAAAAAAATAACTGTAGTAAGAAAAACAAATGAAAAATGCGAACTAATGTAACGTCGTATGGTGAGTTTTTGTTCGTATCGTGGAGCAAAAATATGTTCGAATTTCATGTCGTATCCTGAAAATTTCGTATGCTGGGGCGTTCGTAACCTGAGGTACCACTGTATTCAGTGGGCCACAAAGGTACTTTATATATATGCTTTTAAAAAGTTCAAAATGTGAACATCAAATTTTAATAACAAATATATATATAATTACATAAAATACTGTATTATTGACAGTAAAAAATTATACTCACACAAAAATAAATTTCATGTGATTTCTAATATTGCTTTCCTTTTATAATATTGTGAATATCTGCTTTTATGGTACTAGTCTTAGTTCTAAGTGAATCACTCAACCTATTTTTTCAGCAGTTTTGATGTTTTTCATCCACGAAAAGACTTGTTCACAACAGTATGTTTTGCATGTGGGGTAGTACAGTTTTCTAGCACCAATTACACCATTATGACATCAACATTTATCAAGTGAATGAAAATAATTTTTAACAATATTCTTTAGAAAAATAAATGAAAATGTACCAATGTACCTAAAAAACTTAGGATGCAATGGGCCGCAGTGCTGCCCACAGGCTGGACATCCCTGGTCTAGCAAAATGACAAATTGGAATACTATGAAATAAAGATGAAAAATCAATAATATATGTACTATTAAGTCAAATTTACAACTAATATTTTGACAAACAAATTAGTGAAAGCTTTTCAAAGTCAGAAGATAAGAAAATAAAATATTCATAAAAATAGACTTGGATTTTTTTTGAAAGTGACAGAGATGAAATTATCCTTAGAAAGGTTCAACATAATCCATATGTACAAATATTCATTGGCCTATTGTGAACAACTTCTAAAGATAAAGCTGGAGAAAGAAACTTACTATTGTTTAATTAGATATAACTTAATTTTTTGTTGGAACAAAACTTTCCTTTATGACTTTTAATTTTAATAAATCCTTTACAGACATAATGCATCCTTTATGATTTTTCTCTGATTTTGTTTTAGTATCCTCTTTACAGTTTCAATATAATTTGAATATGACACCTTCTTTATGTAACTGAACTTACACACCCAAAAAATACATCCTTGACTCTAATATTTTTACTTCAAAATAAAGTTCTTTGAATGAATAAAGTTAATAGTATGATAACTTTAACAGAATGGATTTTGTGACAATAATTTATAAATTCAAACTCATTGAAGATCATGTTGTTCTAACAAATTTCACTAAGAACAAGAGTTTATTTAGAAAATGGAAAGCAGTTATTCTTAAGTTTTCTATGTAATGTTAAATTTAACAGATATTCTCATTAAGTCCAGTCTTGATGTTCTCAATGTAATACAATTCAAAGTTTAACAATAAAGTGCTCAAATAGTAGATATAAGTCCAATTAAAAGTCAGGTAGCTGATAAAAAGCAAGTAATGGAAGGAAGTACTTACAGGAAAACCAAATGATGCAGTGGATTTGTAAAAAGTCTCGAATTCTTGACAAGCTTTCACTTTAGTTGTAGTTAAGCCTAAAAATCTTCTGTAAATGTTCGTCCGATGGAGAAATATTTTTAATAAAGTTGAAGACAAAAAAATAAATGGTGATCCTTTTTGGACAGTTTTGTCTTCAATTTTATTTACCTAAAAATCTTATTAATTGATTATATATAACACTTGATGGAGGATAATTGTTCTAGAATCTTTTCAAAATCAAAATTTTTAAGTTTATACAAAATGATTCATTATTCCTCAGAAATATTTCTATTTTGCAACATATTACTTTCATCAGAGAAGAAATGAATAATTGTAATGTGCATCTAACAGTAGCAAATAATTGGAAGCACAAAATTCCAATTCTAGTCAGAGAATGTCATTTATGATATGCATTGTTGAATTAATTGTATTAAATGTATTTTGAAACTCATCTATTATTACTACATTGTGAAAATTAAAATTTTAACAGGATTAATTATAGGAAATCACCCATAACTACTCTATAATCATCATTTATGTTTACCATTATTAATATTTCATTCATTTTGAGCTACTAATAATAAAAAAGATTTCGATATAATTTTGCAGCATAGGTACGGAAATGCAACAATAGAAAAAAATAATGGTAAGTGCTGATTATAATCTGATGTAACTGTTTGCATATATAAAAATGGATTGAAGTAGTTAACCATACTTTATCCACGATGACAAAAAACTCTTTGGAATACTAAAGAAAAAAGAACAGTTCTTCTCAAACTATGTATTCATGGACCAGTTATTGGCCTGCAATTTGAAAAAATTGTAAACCTATAAATTCCCACTGTTGTCCATCTGTCTTTCCTTAATCTCGAGTACAGAGTTAGTTAGATGAAATCTGAGAACAGATATGGAAACATTAGAGGCAGGAGGCCCTGATTAACTATATATGAACTTCTGATGCAAACAGGAAGTCATGTTATTTCAATTCAAATCTTTTCCCCTGAAAGCAGTTAATAGATGACTGGCACAACTCTATTGTTAAAGGTAAAGTACGATGTCTGAAGTATGCACCAGATGGAAAAACAAAAAATATCGTGTATCCACAAGTACTCCAATAAATAAATAGAATTGAAACGACACTTTGAAATGTTTTCCCGATGAAAATGAATAACAATAATAAGTTTCAATAAAAATGATAAAATGTAAATTGAATTTTATCATAACGAGTTTGCTTGAATTTTGTTTCTTCTGAGATTGCAGCAATGCGTGATGGGTAAGCTAGTGTTATATATGAATGTAAATAAAAATTTTCATTTAAAAGTAGAGCAAAAATTGATCAAACACTTTAATGGCAATTTTGTTGAATGAAAACCGTATTAGCATAATTTGATTTAAATTACTTCATTAAATCTTTTTTGTGATTTAAATAACAGAATAACAGAATATTGTACAAGACTGAAATACAGACTATAGTATCTTTAGGATCACAGAAATTGAGCAGTGAATCTCTTGTTTCAATATGAATGGAAAAGACAGCAAGGCAGCAAAAAGAAAATAATCAATGATAGAAATAATTTTCAAAAAATGTTTTTATACAAAACTGATTTTAATAACACACTTTTCAGTTAACATTGACTCAGACAAAATTTTGGAATATCTACTTTTATATATTTATTTCCTATTTATTTATATATATTCAGATATTTTGAAAATGCTTTCATGTTTCATTACCACCTTAAATAATTTTATGGGAATCTTGAAATTTATGAATCCAGCAATCTCAAATTCAAAGAACATATCTAATCACTCACTATCTTATAATAGAAAAGGATGACATTTTACAATTTCATCTTGTAAGTCTACTAACAAGTTCATATCAATAAATTTTTTAATAATCATATAAAAAGTGATAGAAAGGATTATAAGTACAGAGTCAAGCCTTGTTTATTTGGATCCTGTTCATCTAGATTGATTGAAATAGTCATTTCTTTTTAAATGTTTACATATTTTGAGGAAAAATGGTGATTTTTTTACAATTGTTGAGAAATCATTCTATTATTTACAACCTTAATATATATCTACATAGCAATCTCACATCCACAAGGAAAGAATACATACTGTTTATATACACTAAATTTTTATGATCCTATTTATGTAAAGTTAATGTTCTTAATGTTTTCATGTCAGTAAAGCATATAAGTTTATTTTCAACCATTAAAACATATTTTCAGTAAAGAATTGCAGATTTATTTTCTCCAACTTTTTATCACCAGATTTATTTCAATACCCCACTAATTTCAGTTTCTTGATCATTAATCTTGATTGGGTCCATTCCCATTTGATGTGGATAAATAAGGTTTGACTGTACACATTGTGATTAATATGAAAATAAGACATCTATTAAAGTTTACAAGTTTATCTTTGTGGTTTTTTAAATTAATACAAGACGATATAAATTAATTATAAAAGGTATCTGTATATATATGACTCATGTATTTTGGGTAAATTATGCAAGATAAAGTGTATCATAAAAAGAAATTAGGATGACTCAAATTGAAAATCTGTTAAAGATGAAAAAGATAAACCATTGAAGAAATTACAGATAGGATCATAAATCTTCAATCGTGAGGGGTCAAAGAGAGAAGATACAAACATACACATATATAAAATACATTGTTAATTTAAGATAAATTCTCTAAATATTCCCCCCCCCATAATATGAAAAGATTATACAATTTTTAGAAAATCTATAAACCTGATATAATGTTTTAAAATTTATATTAACTATTCTCTGAATTGAGATTTTACAGAAATGAATACTACTTATATTTTTCTTTATCAAAAAATTTATTTTTGTATTCCTTCTGTAGAAAAAAGAATGAAAAGACTAAAAGAGCTGTTATTTCATGTCTACTATGGGTTCAATCAGATACTCAATGATATCTATGCATGGTAAAGAACAGGATCCAATATGTGCACCATTGTTTATGAAAGCAGTCTACATCATTTTTAATTTGAAGTTATATTTCTTTTAAATTTTACAAATTCAAAAGTCAATATATATTTTTTGATCATAGAAAAGAAAACACAAATAAATTTACCTCTACAAAATAGGTATTTTTATGCAATTGTAAAATTTTACAAATAGTTTTTGAAATAAATTCAATGTTTTTCCTTTTTTGACATAGATCACTTTCATTATCACTGGCACATATATCCATGCCTGATCACATGTAAAAAGTTCTGAAGGAACTTTTTACATGTGATCAGGCATGATATATCTGAACTTAATCCTAATTTCTTGGAGTAACAAATAGATGCATCTTTGCTATCTCAAGCATCCATCCAACTTACAAACTTTGAAGATAACATTGTAATTTTAGCTTTAACAAATAACTAAGAAAAAATCAGATTTAATTTAACAAGTTGTAATTGAAATCTACAATTTGATAATGTCTCAATTGATACAATTACACTTCTGAATGAGATGGATTTTACCAGAGCTATAGACTATACCTATAGCAGCAAAAAGCCAAAGGAACAATACTGCTAAATGTTACCCTTTGCAAATGAGTCCCCAAAATTGGTCTACTTTCAGGTCACACACAATCAGGAGTCACGTTGTTTTGCTAATACTATCGTATTTAACTATTTAGCCCATGCAACTATGCCAGTTTCGAGTAATCCACTCAACTGTTTGCAGAGTACTTGATGTTACATAGTTTTAAGGGGTGTAGTTTGCAGAGGTGCAAAAGATAGCAAACACCAAGGCACACGACTACATGCAGATGTAGTCGTGCGCCTTGGTTAAGGCAAGCAAAAATGAGCCATTCAACACAGCACGGAGAATGGGCAGTAGAACCGGTACACGGTAAAAACAGATTTTTGGATGCAAATATTTCACATAAGATCACGTCAGGTACAGTTCCTTTGTAGTGTTACCACCCATCCGGTTTTCACCTGGACAGTCTGGGAATTGACTCACTGTCCGGGTGAACTATTAATTTTGTCCGGGAATTTTGTAGAAATTGTGAAATTACAATGAAACAAAGTTCTTGCAAATATTTTTACAAATTTACACTATTTTAACAGCAAAAGAACTCACACTCACTAAAACTCATCTACAATTCTACCATGTTCATCTTACATTATATTAACCAATGAATTTATCATACTTTCTGCTATAGATCATGTTCATCTGTTTACGCCAACATGTGGCAGTGGCGCGCAACCTGTCAACCTTTTTATTTTCTTTTTTTCGCATGTACGATTATACTCATCTACAGGTTAAGTTATCTAGCACGTTATTCTTCGCATTGTAAAATGACATCACGCATGCATCAGGAACTTCTGTTCAAACAAACCTGACCTGCCATCCGGGTCAGCGATTTTGAAAAGGTGGCAACACTATTCCTTTGACCTTTTTGCTGGTACAGAGGGCCTACAATTCTGGGGGTGAAAAACCCTCATTCAGAGTTCACATCTTACCATACGATTTAACAAAAAAATAATGACAAATTTGCATTTGTTATTGTAGATAAGGCAAGCAAGACACTCACCAGAACCGAATCTATTTTTGTGCAATTCGCCGCTAACATTCCTACACCTGACAGGCAAGACGGAATCGTGGACGGAAGGGTCCCAATTGTATTTGAATTTTTTGTCGCCATTGGTGCCGAGAGGAGTGGGCGAAGGCGTGCTGGGTTGAGCCTTCAGAACGGCGTCGAGCGTGGACTGATCGTGGATGACAATGTGCGTGGTCTTGATGCCCGCGTCGTGTAACTGTTCGGGAGTGAGTATACCTTGCGGGGTGGCGAATACCACGTTAGTGATACCATTGACGCCCGATTCCGAAGCCGGTGGAAACGGAGTTACGTCAGAGTTCGGTAAATCTTCGGAAAGGTCAGGCGTTGCCACTAAAGGTACGCCACCCGACTCCATTACCACCGATATTTTCACTAGAAATAATTAAAAGACTCACATCTGTGTGTAATTAAGCCTTTCGGCTCGTTCTCGTAAGCCAACGCGCGCGTAAATTACGATAAATAATCTTTGTTAGTTAAAAAGATGGACGACTCTCGGCAACCTTCGGCTATTCTCGGTGGTGGGCGGATAATAACCTCTTTCACCTTCGATTTTTAACTTTTTCACTGATTTTTTGTAATATTAATACTTCAAATAATATTCCAAGTATTAAAATATTAAGAATTTAACGTTGTATTGATATTATCATACGGTGGTCGCGTGGAATCGAAAAATAAGTTTCCAGGAATCAGATGGCGATCATCATCAAAGTGTGGTCACTGTCATTATTTAAAGACTAAATATATATATGGAAAAACATAATGCCATTTGAGAAATAATATAGTAACCAGCAAAATAAACTCTCTCGAGACTCGAGTCATTTTGGTAGAGCACACTTTAGGCTGCAATATTTCTACATTATCCCCCTTTTCTTTCTTCATCTTGGATTCTGCCAACAAAAAGAAATTCCCTTTTTTAAGCATAACTTTTAATTTTTCCTTTTGCATCTCGGTCTGTCTTTGATTACAAAGGAGTCATTCCAGTTTTTAGTCGCCAATTATCATAAATCTTTTTCTCCGTTTTCTTTTTTCATTTGGATACTTCAACACTTCTTCAATTACATCTCTCAGAAAATATTCTCTTCTAAGTCATCAGATGACTAATGACTTAGAAGAGAATATTCATTTTCCATTTTCTTGTATTTTGTCTTGTCCAGCAATGTTTTCTTCTCTTCCATTTTCTTTGCAGTACATTTCATTATTGCTAAAACATCTTTCCAGCTAATCTCTACTTCTGCATCTCACGGACTTCAATTTTTAAAAATCTTTCTCTATTAATTAACAGAAGAAAATGGAGAGAAGAAGAACAGTTTTCTATCGATTCTCTATGATTTAACTTTGAATTTATTGAGAAAATCTATATACGCGCATGCATCTGATTTTCAGGGGGACTGTGTAAATCAATAGTTTGAAAACCACTGCTTGAAATTCGGAAATCTGTATCTAACACCACTGTTAGGTATTAACTTTGTCCCTTCTGACGGACGAGAATCTTGGTCAAGCAATAGACCGGCTCCATAATAGTGAAGACAAATAGAAATTTTATATTTAAACACACTACATACTAACATTATACAGTTTAAGCATAGTTTCTTTTAATTGAACATAAACTGAATACATTACGTTTTTCAATCTCGAAGATCAAATTAAAACGGGGGAATTAAATAAACGGGACAAGAATTGGCAAGGATGCAAAATTTACTTACCTAAGGAATAAATTGACTGAAAATCTAGACTACGTTGAAGAGCTAAAAACGAGATCAGTCAAAGGGTCTGCTAATCTCAGGGCCAAAATTTGGAAACGCCAAAATATCATAATAGAAACAAACTTAAAAATTCTGGACACATGCATCCTTAGTTATATACTTTATGGCTGCGAGGTATAATTCTTCACAAGGAAACCAGAAGACTATCCGTCTGTGGAAGAAATTGTCGGCGGAAGGTGGGTCGCTCAGAGTAGACATAGTTCCCCATACTGTGCACATAATTGTGCGCTTAGTATGAGGAACTATGACCAGTTATCCCAAATTATAGCTGGAACGCAAATTGCTTTTAATCATATCAGAATTAATGGGTTTAGATAATATTTATGAAGATATATAAAACAAAATTATTTCTTAAAACTGATTATGTATAGCAAAAAGTTTTCAAGATTAAGTTTAATTCTAAAAAATGTAGCAAAACGCTGCGTAAATTTTTCGGATATTGAGATTTTATTTAAAAAATAACTTTTATATTATTAATCATTCTATTAATAAATGAATTGTGTGGAGCATGGAATCTGTTGTGAGATTTTGTTATAAAAACTTTCTATATTTTTAATTCTTATAAAATAGCAATACGCTTAAGTTTGAGGTAAGTTTTATAAAAAAATAAAAAACTAAATAGTAATAATAATTAAAGTCTTCAATAAGTCTGACCGTGTTTCCGATTGGTTTCGGAGCCAATGGCCAGCCATTGGCAGTTGTGGGTTCGGGCCTCACCAACGACTGGCTACGTGGAATTTCCCCGGTTTTCTTCACGTGTAAACGCTTAAATAGGGGCCGCCTTCCGCCACACAATGTGACCTCAATAAGCCCTAATGACGCCACTCAGTTTGTAGTCCTCGGACCACTATGCCTTATGGCTGTGGCCTACGGAGTAGACCATTCACATAAATAATGGAGATGACTATAGCGTAAGACAGTCATCTCCAATAATAATACGAAGTTTGCACAATTAAAATTTTTGTTTATTACGTACAATTTTAATTAGTTATCGTAACTAATTTCTTCTCTGAAAATTAATATTATAAGGATTTTTTTAAAAGGCTTTCAAATGTACGATCGTATTTAAAATATTTTTCAGAATTGATAATTGATTAAAATATATTATTTCCGAACTTATAAGAACTTTTGATGCAAACCGGAAATCACGTTATTTCAATTTCAAATTTTCCTCTGAAAGGTGTTAGATAGATGACTGGCACGGGTCCTATGAAGTTGTAATGTGCCACTAAGCTTATAATCGAAATAAGTGGCATAAATATTTCACTGCGAATGAACGTCTCCGATCGTCACCCGAAAAATCCAACTTCTTGGATCTGAGAGTCGTCGAAGGATATGACCACAACCCTCTAAAGTATATGGCCGGATGGCCGAGCGGTCTACTGCTCTGATGTCTAAGTTGGCAGCCTACTGCTCTGATGGACCCGGGATCGAATCCGGACGGGTCAAGAAATCCCCAGGAATTTTTCGGGGATGGTCTGTTCGGATATGTCGGGCCCCGTCCCTCACCACCCGGTCGCCCCATTACGGGTTTGAAAGAGTAAAAAAGCCCTCTAAAGTATAGACCTGCACGCATATTCAAGATGGCGGCAGCTTCGGGCGGAGCGCATCTAGTTACTTGTAGAATCATTTAGTGCGTGCAATTAAATATACTAGGATTTCCAAAGTTTTATCTGTCAGACATCCATGAGATGAAAAGAATGTATTTTTATATTTTAATAAGCGAAAGATCCAACAATCGTATTCGAGCATTATAAAAACCAAATGTTAATGACTGTGGAAATAATAAATGTGTTTTTCGTAGAGCTTTTTAAATCAATAAACTGAGAAATAAATTAGTTTTGCCATTCAATTGAACATTTATAGAATAAAATAAAATTAGGTTGCTTAACATATTTGCTACAATAATAATTATATTAGATGGTTGCTCGGAAATCATAGGACAGGAAAATCAATAAGGAAGCTAACCTAATTCTGTTCATTGTAGAATATGATCATCATCTGTTAAGACGAAAGTATTTCAATTGTGTAACACGAACACATACCAGCTATCTGGCATGAATCGCTCTTTGATTTCTGATTATGATGCCAGAAGTTAAAATTTAACCGTTGGTGGAATTAATGGAGGAATACATTTGCTTAATAACCAATCGGAGATGCGAATTCATATCATTTCAGAATTTATTATATACGTATTTAAAATTTAAAAAAATTTTGTGAATTACAGTGACTCGTTAGTTTGTAAATATGAGTGAACTTAGGTAACATGCGAGTCAAATCAGGCAGTTGCGAAAAGCGCGTTTATTCTGCACTTTGCAAACATTACAAGTTAAAACATATTGCAGATATTATAACTGTTAAAAAATACAGCACCGGTACTGTTGGGTTCGTGGGTAGAGAAGTTTTATAGTTTGTCCCTCTTTTGTATAGTTTGCGAACACTGGTCACGAGTGATATCACAAGTGGACGACTCGCCAGATCATCAAAGAAAGTCACGTGACCATAAGAATCGCCTCTGACGTCACGTCGAAAGCGACGGCATTACTTTAAATCGAGGCTTTACTGTAATTTGAAAAAATACCTACTTATAAGTAGAAAGCAGTTTAAGTATTAAAAAAAACTTTGGGACATCATGAAACGTTCTCTAGCACTAACGTAAGCGGCGGCCGGATGGCCGAGCAGTCACGGTGGCAGTCCACCGCTGTAGGGAACCCGAGCTCGAATCCGAACGGGTCGAAATATCCCAAGGAAATTTTCGGGGGTGGTCCGTCCGGATATGTCGGGTCCCGTCCCTCACCACCCAGCGCCCCATTGCGAGCCCGGCCGAACCCATAATGGGCTTGCCAAAAGAGGCCGTCTTAGTGCCCACAAGGCGGAGAGTTAAAAAAAAAACAAAAAAAACTAACGCCAGACCTTTTATTCAAGCCTATCAAGAGTTCGTCTAGGCCCACAAAGGGGCGGCTAATGACGTGGAAGGAAACCTGATCACCCGCGAAAAATTTTTGGATCGATCGCCCGGCTTCGATCCTAGACACATCGAAGCTAAATTAATCTATCACAAAAATAAAATTCTACTATCAATTTAATTTATATTCTCCAATTTTAAATATACAATAAATTCTGAAATTATTATATGAAATCGTATCTCCGATTGGTTAATAAAATGCGTAAGCAATTTCAGTCGGGAGTTACGAATTATTACACGAACGTTAGTAAAAAAAATCGTCAATAAATAAACACAGAAATAATATTTTATCGTATTTCTTATACGCAATAAATAGGACAGCAAATGTATTCCTCCATTAATTCCACGAACGGTTAAATTTTAACCTCTGGCATCATAATCAGAAATCAAAGGGCGATTCATGCCAGATAGCTGGTATGTGTTTGTATTACACAATTGAAATACTTTCGTCTTAACAGATGATTCTACAATGAACAGAATTAGGTTAGCTTCTTTATTGATTTTCCTCTGTCCTGTGGTTTCTGAGCAACCACCAAATATTATTATTATTGTGGCAGATGATCTGGTAAGTGTATTTATTGAGAAATTGTTTGTTGTTTTGATTTAGTGTTTACAGTTCTAAATTTCATTTGAATTGCAAGTTTTTATGCAATAGATTTTTTTTCTAGTTAATGTTAAGAGAAGGAAACTGAAGATTTAAAGTATAGTAACTATTGTTTTGGGTTATTTTGAAATTACTGAATACTTTCATTAGGGGTGGAATGATGTTCAATTCCATGGTTCGCAGCAAGTTCCCACACCAAATTTGGATGCATTCGGACGGGCCGGAGTCCACTTAAATAATTATTATGTCTCTCCGATATGTACGCCTTCCAGAGGAGCTTTAATGTCTGGGAGGCATCCGATTCATTTAGGTTAGTATTATCAACAGCATGCATTTATACAAAAATTAACCAATTGATATAAAATTAATATGACTGCAGGTCTGCAACATGATGTCATATATGCTGGTGAACCTTGGGGTCTGCCTCTAAATATTACTATTCTTCCTCAGCATTTAAAACGTTTGGGATACGCTACTCATGCTATAGGAAAAGTAAGCTCGCTTCTAAATATATACAAACAAATTCCACTACTATTCTATAATTATTTTAATCATTTAATCTGTTAGTGGCATTTGGGGTTTAATCGAAAAGAAGCTACACCAACAATGAGGGGTTTTGACAGTCATTATGGATACTGGACTGGCCATGAAGATTATTATGACCATACTGCAGAGTCGGTATGTTGACTGGCTTTTAGCATGTTTTTGAAAAAAAGAAATGTAATTTTTACTTTATTTAGCCTGTAGGTTGGGGTACAGATTTTCATAATGATCTAAAAACTATTAGAAATGAAGCAGGAAAATATGCAACAGATCTTTTTACACAAAGAGCAATAGAAATAATTAATAAGCATAATTCATCTCAGGTAGTATCTATTTCATTCATGAACAATTAAAAGATATGATTTAATGTGTATTTTTTGTTTTAGCCTCTCTTTCTGTACGTAGCACACTTAGCTGTTCACGTAGCTAATTCCTATAATTTATTCCAAGCACCACCTAATTATGTAAACAGATTTCCTCACATTAATGATAACAGAAGGAGAATCTTTGCAGGTAATTTTGAGTCTTCAAAATTTATCTTGCTAATAACAAAAATGTAATGATATTTTAAATTAAAAACAGGTATGATATCAGCATTAGATGACAGCATTGGTAAACTATTTATGGCTCTAAATGAAACATCTATGTTAGAAAATTCTGTAATAGTTTTTACAAGTGATAATGGTGGAGCAGCTGGAGGAATTGATCAAAGTGTTGGCTCTAATTGGCCATTAAGAGGAAGTAAATACACTTTGTGGGAAGGTGGGGTGAAAGCCAATGGCATATTTTGGACTTCCTTTTTAAATAAATCCCATTATAATTCTTATAATTATTTGATGCATATATGTGACTGGTTGCCAACTTTATATTCTGCTGCAGGTAAGTAAAAAGCAGAAAATAGATATTATAATGATATATATCTAATTATGTTATCATATTAGGTGGTGAAGTAAGTGATTTAGGTTCTATATATGGACATGATATGTGGAAAAGTTTATTATTTAATTTACCTTCACCTCGTGAAGAAATTCTCCACAACATAGACCCTATTTGGAAGAATGCTGCTTTAAGAAGGGGAGATTATAAGATTGTAATTGGAACAGTGTTTAATGGAGAATATGATGGATGGTACCCTACAATTGGAAATGAGAAACCAGATTGTACTTTCTCAAATACATCTCCGGTGGAAAATATTCTAAAATCAAAAGGATGGAATTTGGATAAAGAAAAAAGTTATATCATTACTTGCAAACAACCTCCTCCTATAAATAAAACACACGAATGTATCGATATACACTCTCCTTGTCTCTTCAACATTGCAGATGATCCTTGTGAATACAATAATTTAGCTAAATCTAATCGAAAGGTAATTTCATAAATATACTATTCAAATCCCATTTATTTATTTAATTTCTTTAAATTTAAAAATGTACAGATTTTAAAAGAATTAGTTAAAAGTGTTACGGCATGGAGCAAGACAGCTGTACCACCTGGAAAAGTTCCAGCTGACCCAGCGGCAAATCCAGTTTTTCATCAATACGCTTGGGAACCCTGGCAAGATTAGACAGTAAATTTGTAACAAAAGATAAAAAAAAATTCATTGTCATAATTTTTTTAATATATACAAAGTAATACAGAAGAAAATTATCATGGAACAAAATTAACATACAACAATAATGATATAATTAATATATGTATATTTATACAAAAAATTAAAATGATGAGAATATGTATCTATGCTGAAAACAGATACAAACAAATTCAAAATAGCATGACATATAATTTATAATATCTAACAAATTTATATTTCAAACCCTATAAACATATTAAGGAATAAAATTTCAATTGAGCTTTCAAAGAATCAGAAAAAAATATCTCATTTTATGATTAGCAAATGACTATGTATTCAATGCCTTGTTACAGAAGATTGCACAATTATTAAATAAAAAAAGATATATTATTTTTATCTGTGTAAATAAAACTGACTATTTAACAAGCACAATACACAAATTTGAAAATTAGTGCAGAAAGACCAGCTTTCTGTAAATTATTATTATTTTAAAAGGAAATTTGCATTATGTACAAAATTTATTTTAATCAGAAATATTCATAACATAAAAAATAATTTTAAGGGATGTTTTATATCTATACATATATTGAAAACAAAATTGTTTTGTTTTGGAATTTTTTTTATTACTACTGTTTTTGTGGTTAAAAAAAATATATATGTATATAAAAATGAAAATTATAGTAGATATATCTTGTAGCACCAAGTAATAAATATTTAGCCATCATACTCTTATATAGAGAAGGAAAAACCATAATAGGTAAAATGAAATAAGCAAAATGGTAAATTTCTTTGCATAAAGGTAGATTTTCCATATAAACAAACTTGTGCTGCATACACCACAAAAAAAAATATTGCAGTATGTACCTTGATAAAGCAAAGTTCAAAGTAAAATACTTCCAATTGATCTGAAGTAACCATGGTGCAGAAGTCTTCAGCTAAGTGCAGCTAATTATATCAAATTTTTAATTTTATATTTTAGTATTTTAATTTTATAGCAAATTAATGCTATGAAATCATATACTAGTTCTGTCTTCCAGAAATAAGGAGATCAAAGATTGTTTTTTTTTGTTATTTTTTAAGAAATTCATTTGATATAAAGTAATTTGAAAATTCAATATTTTAGATTGGCCATTATGAGCAATATCCCTGATTTGCATATACTGTAAATAACAACCAATCAACCATTTTAAAAATTTATTCCCCTCTCCCTAAAAAAGTTAACAAATATTAGTTATTAGAGATTTAAAAATCTCATTTAACTAATAGAAAACAAATTACATTTTTCGTATACTAGGCCAGCAATCTGGATTGCAGATATATTCCGAAGTGTTTAATTCCTAAAATAATCATGTTTTGCGATACTGTACACCTCTGATAAGTTTTTGAAATATTTATAGTTTAATAGACAAAACTTTGTTATTTACAGTATATAAAAATTTTCCATTATATAAATCATATGCTTTACAATACATTTTCATACAAACATGCAAGTGCAGTTAGAACACGGACATGATATGTACAGTGCAATCTTTGAGTTTGTCACTGGTCCTTTTACAATTAATAGAAATTTGTTTTACTTTAATTATTCAAATGTAAAATTTTAGAGAATATGCAGAACCACTAGGTTCAATCTGAATCTGTTTGGGTCAGGTTAATTATCATTAATAAATAGTCAGTATGAATTATTTACTTGTTCCCAAAAGATTTACTTTATAAATATCAAATTGTGATGTTTCAGTAGAAATTCTGTAAAATGATTTATATGAGATATGGAAGATAGAGAAGCCTGCTGGTTTTGTGACCATAAAAGATTTGGAGCAAATACAATGGCCAAATTGGAAGCTGTCATCTTATTAAGGTCACTGCAATCCATCACCTGAAATTAAATTTAATATATAATTTTATATATGCATGATGGAATGTAAAGTTCCAATTTTAAATATTAAGATTAAACTTTCTATTAACCAAACATAGTTTATAACTTACTTTTACAAGAAATTCTACTATAAATCTTAATAATTCATAATTATCTTCTGGCAAACTGTTTAGAATAAGTGATCGAGCAACTGGTAATTTTTCAATTGTATCCAGCTCTAAAAAAGATTAAAACCAAATTCTTTAATTACAAAACTTTTCTTCATTTTTTAAAATAAATTTTCATAAACCTGAAATTAAAAATGGCATTAAAATTATGTTAAAAATTTATAAAATTTATTTTCATTAAATTTTCTGACTTAATACTAGTCCTTTTCTTAGCCATCTCAATCACATACATCAGACATTGGTCAAGATATGTCAGAATGAGAATGATACACTCTGCAATCCTTATTAATTAATTATCTGTGTCATAATTCAAAGTACAGACAATAGATTCTATTCCTTCAATGAATTGTTACAATCATCATGTTGATTGTAACAATTGAACAATCAGGTTAAAAAAAAAACTACAAAATACAGATTTCATTTTCAGTCAAAAACATCTATTGCATTAAACTTCAATCAAATTAATAGTCATGAAGGAAGAACACATTAAATTGTTTTACATTAGGCTCAAGTTATTATAGCTAGTTTTTGAACAATCTTACTGGATAATGAACACATTAAAAGTTGTGTGTAAAGTTATTCATAAATGCATATGATGCTTAGATTTAAGACTTCTTGTTCAGAACAGTTGTAATGGGTGATCTATTTATCATTCACATCTAAGCCAGCCTGTGCATTCTTAAACTGTGGATTATATTATACAAGTTCTATATGTGTATATAATGCAAATCCAGATGAACAGCAATACTTAAGAATAACATTGCTCTATTAATCTCTCTCACAATCCATGCTGTGCATTTCAAACTAAAAATTGATCTCCATTAAGTCTTTCTTGGCAGCCTTAAGAAACTCATTGCTTGAAGAGAAAATGTATTAACATTTGATTAATAACAAACAACACTTTCAAAATTTGAGAGACAAAAATAAACTAAATAAAGTATCAATTAGCTCAGAATCACAACTACTGTATAAAATAATCAAAATGCCTATTTTGACTGCCATTTTGATAATCTTGTATAAATTGGCATTTAGGAGGCTGGAATCAATCTCTCAAATATCACCTAAAAAGACTGTAGAAAAACAAAGCTGGCTTTTGCAATTTTAAAATGGTAACTTATAAAGTTACCATATTTTCAAATTGAAGCTAGTCTAAATTCTAATCCAATACCCTAGTCTTAATAACCTTAGAATGATGACTTCTACCCACTTTTTAATAAAAGGTTTATTATGTATGCATCCTAAGTTCATGCAACTATCTACCAACTATTTAACCAGATAGAAACTATTACAGAAAGCCAGACAAAAATTTTGATGTCAATAATAATACATGTTGCAATTACAACAATGCCAAAAATGATCTTCCTCAACCTTGGGCATTGGCTCAAGCCCAGGATATTATTTCAGGGAGCAATTAGACATTTTTGGGTAGCTTTAGTGAAGACAACAACAACAACTTTTAAATATTCAATATGTAAATTTTGTATTTATACTGCCAATACAATAATTTCTGTCCAACATGCTGTATAAGGTGCTATCCAGATGTATCACCATTCATCATTGAAATCAAGTGACTGTTCAACATTTCAAAAGCTGTTATAACAAAGGGAAAGTATAACAATGCAGCAAAAAATGACCCCCCAGATTTTTACATTTTTTTGGACTTAGGACACCTTGAAACTTTCGAGAACTGCAAAAAATTTGTTTTTTTTTTTTTTTCTGTATGTATGGATATTAATAAGTGGGAAGCACGATTTTGTTCATCCTCTTTGAAGCTTAATAACTCCTGTGCTTTTTGTCAAAAATTTCTGAAATTTTGCAAGGTTTGTTTATTAGGGGAATTGATGTTATTAAATTTTGGTAGTTAAAGGTTGAGGGGAGCGAGATAATGGGGTTGTGTGTATCTTCAGTAAGGTCAGATTTAATGACAATTTTACTCGTTATTAACATTTGCAATTTTTTATAAAACTCATCCCTACCCTCAAAATTAAGCATTTTGCCATTTTATAATAGTTAAAAATATAAAGTTTTTTAAAATAAAATATCATAGTGGATGGTGCTGGGAAATTTGAGCAACTCATTGCTGGTTATTATAATTACAAAGACTAGGAACATATGGTCTTTATTAAACAGGGACAGTTGGCCTCTGTAATAGATACTTTCAAGTACAGACTTAAAGGCCTCTGTTGTTATACCTTAGTGTGTATAAAATGAGCAACAGCTTTCACTGGTATTAAGAAACAGCTTGTAAAGACAACTATAACAGTTTCATACAATGAATATAATGTCCATATCAAAAAGACAATGTCTAACTATCCAACAAAGTTCTGCATTTTATCTAAGTAATGAGTCAATAAAAATGACAAAAATCAGTTTACAGTTAGTCCTAAAATTTAGTCTAGAATCAACTTTTAGAACAATAATTTATTCCACTGCTTACTAGCTATATCTTTGCAATAATAAATTTCTTTCAATTTTTAAATAAATTTTGTTTCAATTTATCTTGTTGTTATACTTTTTAAACTAGGATGTCATGCAACTTTGTTGTATTGCAATAGAATTGAGGCAGAGCTAGAAAGAAGTGATTCCTGCAGCTGTTAGGCATAGAAAGGGGTGATCCTTGTACAGTACCTGACGAACTAGTTTCAGGGCAGCTAGACTTTTCTTAGTGCATTACTATTCAGGCTTCTTCACTACTGTGGGGTCCCAGACGAGGTTTGAACTCGAGTAAACTGTGAAATTCTTGCGCGACACAAAATGTAAACAACGAGACTCGGAACGGTTCAAGTATGTGTCAAACTATCTGTCAAGGTCTTAGTGGAAGACAAACTCACGAGCGCTCATAAACATGTATATCTTTGACTCGAGTGTCTATAAAATGTTGACCGAGATAAACCTTTCAAACAAAAAAAAAAAAAAAAAGGGGGAAATTTTTGATAGATGAAAGGTGAAAATGATTGTTAAATTCTTAGACGTCAAGAAATGGTAAACAACGGCCTGAGTTATGAGTGCAGGTGTTATTATTTTATAAACAGTCACCGAGCAGAGTCGACAAAGATTTATCAGATGGACACCTCAAATTGGACCTTTCCCGTGACCCAAAAAGGTTTCGTCTTGCACCTGGAGACAAAGGAGAGACCAATTGGGAAGTGAGGAATGGGACGAGGGACCAATCCGAAATGCAAACAGTGGGGAAAAAACTATAAAAATCAGAACTTCAAGGTCGAAAGAGAGTCTCCTCTGGATTAAGTCTACCGTTGTGATTTAGATTGTGTTGTGCAACTGCCGATCACCCAGGACGCCGCAGCTTAACAACAAACATCTGTATCGTCCAGTGATCCTTCTCGTCCACCTGGGCTGCGACCAATCACCCGAACTTTTGCTGTTCACAGGAGCACCGAGATTTGGAATTGTCCAATATCGATGTAAGCATGAATTCGAACAAATAAACGTGTTTTCTTTTGTAAAACACTTGTTCTTCATTTGCCTCCTTCGCCACCACTCACATATGCGGTTTCCCTTAGGCTCATTCTGACGCGAGATAGACTTTATTCCCCCTTAACGTCGGCAACCCTTACACTACCTCAGAAAAACTTTCCCTGTTGTCTAGCGACGGCCCCAGAGGGTCAGCACATACTGACTCTTCCTTCCATTTGCCTTCTACTATCCTTACTATCCTTTTCTCCTTTACTACACTATCGTGCTTACCTCTCTTCCTGAGAGGTTCCATCTGCTTTTTGACGCCTGGCTGTGAGCTGTGTGTCTTGTGTTTGCCGCCCGTCTCCTGGTGTGGGGCATGGCAATCTTTTCTCTCTGTTCTTGACCTGCTTGGTGCATCCGCAGCCACTCTGGTGAGTGTTTGTCGGCCATCTACTTTTCTCGCTTCCCTAATTTTTCTACCCTATATTTCTCTTACCCTATCTGGGCACCTCTACAATTATACTTGTCTGAGCCTCAGGACCAGTACCACTTGGTGGATGACAGGCTCACCCCCCCTTCTCACTTCCTTTTGACTATTTAAACACTATAGTATTAATTATTTTCCCTTTTTCGTAAAACTCTTCGTTTATTGAACTGCATCTCCTAAATTTCATTGTTGATAAGGCGTCTTCTCTCTGTCGCCTTCCACCCCTTCGACTGCGTATGCAGATAACCGGGTACTTTGCCTTCTTTCTGGATGGGCGTTAGGTGCGAGGTTTGTGCACTGGACTCGCTCGTCCTGTTTTATCGATGTAGTCGCTTTGGTCGGGTGGACCTCCTCGACTGTAAGCACTTCCCTTTCGTTTTTCTGGATAGTGGCCTCGATCCCGGTACTGGTACCCCTCAGTAGATCGGCAGCGGCAGTTCTGCTCTGGGGTTGCTGTCAGCAGTTGGCTTCCATCTTGCCTCCCGTGGGCGCCTCTTTGGCATGGCATTAGCGGGCCGCTGCACCTATCCCTGCTGCTTTTGTCTTATACTTATGCGTGTCGTTCTTCCTCTACATCTGGCCCTGAAAGACTCATTAGTCAGTCTCCAGCCAGGTAAAACCTGCTTCACTCTTTAACTTCAATCTTTTTCATTATCATTGATGCCACTCTCTCAAAACTCAAATCTAAAAATTCACATTTAAACTTTGCCCTTCATGGTGGTCCTGTCCAACACTTACCATATTTGGTTACCTCGTAATTGTCCCTTTTCCCTTTGGTCTTTGCATTTTCTGGCCCTTTTGGCCTAGCTTGACATGTGAAGTTTTACATGTGTTTGGCCTAGCTTAACATGTGAGTAAAACTTCACATGTCAAGCTAGGTGCTCAACTGGCTTGTTGACTTGTTCACCAAGCCAGACTCCCATTTTGAAAACTTTAACGTTTATTCTAAATTTGTTGGACTAGACCATCTATGGCTTTACCTTTTTACTTTCTTTTCCACAGTGGCTCTGGGCAAGTCAGAAAAATCAGGTTAGGCTATGTTAGGCACTAACAACCTACAACTTTCCTATCTTACTTTGTTTATCTTGCCTTGTCTCATGCATCCTCCAGCTCTGGTCATTCTAAGTTAAATTTGTACTCTTCCAAAATCTTAGACCTAATCAGTTGCTGGTTGGGGGTCTAGCTCTCTTGAGCTATCTCTCCTCTTTTGCCAACAATTCAAATAAACTTATTAATAAAAATTTAAAGTACCCAGCTAAACTCTAATAAAATTTAAATTTTTAAATTACCAACATTGTGCAAATTTTAATTATAGTCTATTTAACATCAAACCTTACATATTTCAAATTGTAACTTGTTCCCTAAACTTCTCAGCCTTATCTGGAGGATCCCTTAGTCACCATTACTGATACCTCTCTAGCACCTGGTGATAACCACCTTACTAACCCTAACAATTACTAACAGCTAATATACATATACACCTTTCGGCCTTAAGTTTAAATAACAAGTACAGACTCCAAACATCACGTAAAACTTATGAGCCCTGACAAGGGACTAGTTCAAATACATTATGAGCTCTCATGGGACAAATACCCTTTTCACTTTACACGTTATGGTCCCTTAGTGCTCTCTGAGCAGGAATGGGCCTCAGTAACATCAGACCAAAACTTATTGCGGTAAAAAAAAAGTACCCGACGAACACAAACAGGTGAACTTTGCACTTTCCAACATGGAGAGGTGATCCAAGAAGAAAGCAATCAATAGCGATTACATTGTTCTTGAATCATCTCTCCATGTTGGCATTGATTGCTTTCTTCTTGTATCTTGTTCATTTTTTGCATTATTTTCCATTAGGTGCATGCAATGCTGTTTTTATTTTTGACCCCTAGGTGTAAATTCCATTAGGCATGCTCAATTGCATCAGAGAGCATGGACATTGTTTTTGATATATGAGGGTATTGTATTATAGTGACAAAGTCATTGACTCCTATTTTTTATATTTAAATGGACCCCAATTACATTTTCGGATTCCTCAAAACAATTAACAGAAAGTGGTACAGTTTTATCAAAATTGGCCCATTAAATTTTGAGAATGAACTCGATTTTATAAGCCCATAGAAGGTGTGCTAGCAACCATGAAACATCACATGACAAAGTTGCACAATTCATGCATTATCACTTTATTGCATGTGCTCATGCTACTTTATATGCTCAAAAACAAACTCATGGACCGACATTTTTGGATTCCTCATTGCAACTAATGTAAAATGCCAAAGTTTAGTTAAAATCAATTGAACAGATTTTGAGAACAAACACAATTCTGTAAGCCACATAGAAGAGGCTTCACTATTGCTCTGCCTCAAAAATATTTTAGATATATATCTGTATTGCTATTAACAGACTACACTTTTTACTGTATTGCATAATTTCTAGAATTTGAAATTTTGAGTAATTATACCTATATAGGATTACTGTTTTAATTTTTTATGATGGTACAATAGATACTACTTGAAAAAGTCAATTTTAATACACATTGATAAATTTCTACCTACCTATTTACTTAAATGTAAGACACTTTTTTCAGGTTTTAGTATCTCTTAAAAGTGTCTAGTATCTATTGCAAGAAATCTACCAAACACAGCTGTTATGATAAGTATATAATAGCAGAAATTGCAATAAATTATAATCAATTACTAACCCAATGAAAATTTAAAAATTGTCTTCTATAATAATACAGAAATTATATTTTAAGATGTATTAATAAGTTTTAAACTGAAAATTTTAAATATATTTAAACATAATTGAAATTCTTTCAACATAAAAGTTTTTGGGTTAATTATCCTATAGCAATCATTAAATTGACAATTTTAATAAACTATGTTATTATTAATGACTTATAATTATTATTACACTAAATCTGTTTAGAATAACAAATTTAATTAATAAAATGACATTATAATTTATATTATCAATATTTGACTGTATTTTTGAATTACCTTGAAATGTCATTACATCTTCATATAAATCAAATGTCAACAATGGTTCTTCCAATTCTCTGAGAAATGACTTCAGTATCACAGCTGGAACATGAATGTCACTGTAATCTTCAAAGTTAACAGGTTTTCCTAAAAAAATTTCAGATTCATTTTATATACAGATGTATTTTATAAATCTTAAGGATATATTGAAATATAGTTAGTAAAGTTGCTTATAATTTTTTTTTATTAAATATAAATTGAAATTAGAAATTAATATTAAAAATTTTTAAATCACAAGTAATTTATTCACTATAATGCTGTAATAAAATTACAAATTTTTTTATAATTAAGAAATATTTAATATAAAAGTGAAAGATATTGGACCTCATGCTGATCAATAGATAAGCAAGAAACGAGAAAATTATCATCCAGACGTTAAACAACATACAAGTATCGCCGTAAACTACTAGCGCTTTCGACAACACTATTTTTGTCTTCTTCAGGCAGATGAAAACGGTTAATATCCTTTTATCGAATAATGATTTTGAACTACCCTAGCAGCAAAACAGCTTTGGAATATAACTAAAAATGGAACTAAATACAGAACACTTGAATAATATGCGCATGGTGCCAATGTGCATGTGCAAAAATTTTTTACATGAATGTGGAGCTAGTGACGATATCTTAATTTATTATATAAATTGACCCACAAAGAAGGCACATCCAGCATGGGGGTGTTGCATGGATTTAGCATGTCGGTAAGGAGCGCCTCCCATAAATATACGACGAGGCTCCTGTTACCACACTGCTTGAGTACAACAGGCAATAAAAAAATCTAAGAAAATGTACCTGAAATTTTTGCAAAAAGATCAAGAGCAGCATTAAAAAAGGAGTTCCAATTATTTGAAGAAACCAGAAAACGTACTGAAAGTTTGGAACTACTTTATAAAGCTTTAAACACAATAAAACCGACATCTGTTGAAAACGAATGTGTTCTCCTTGTCCAAAGACATTATTACAAAAATCAAAAACAGATTGTCAGACAAACTGTAAATGCTCTGATGTTTTTAAATGCCTATTTTAGTAAATCAGAAAAGATGCCTAATTGCTAGTTCATTATATTATTTATATGACTAATGAATAGAAATTAGGTGATGATTATTAATGATTACTAAGTTGGTTTTATAATTTTAAGATTTTACTGCCAAAAAATAAATCTATGATTATAAGAATTAAACATACGAACTGTTTAGACTTTAATTAACATTATAAACATTAGGATTTGATTTTATGTTCAATAAATGTTGATTTTTACTAAAATTGCCTTTTTATTGATACATCTCGCCAAAAATGAACTCGATTCTAATTTTATTCTGAGAAGTCTCGAAGTCCCGTGATGTTCCGGGATTTTGATCGTGGGTTGTCTCGTGTCCCAGGACTTTGAGAATGTCGAGACTTCCCAAACCCTAATAAACTTAGACCTAGCATAGCCCGCCACACTTACCGCTGAGTGAATAGCTTTAAGCTTGATATTGACAGCAGCTTGATTGGAAGACAACAGAAAAGCCCTTCTAATTAGAGTTGATGTAATGCTGTGGTTGGTATGCAGTGGGAGTGTGAGATCCGAAAGGCCCTGGGTCTAATTTGTGAATTTTTATTAAATATGTTTAAATATCGACACAAAATATTACTTCGATTGGTGAAAAAATATTGTTTTAGACGTGGGAAAAACCAGATAACAAATGTTATTTCCTTTCCACAGAAGAGAACATCCTCTGTTTTTCCGTATCTGGTTAAAAATCTCGCTCAGACGGGAAATGGTTACCCCTCATTCATCCCCCACTCGTCCGTTCTCACGAAAGAGTTACTGGACAATGATTGGACGAAATTTGGAAATAAAAGGAGAGATTAGTCAGAATTCGAGGAGTTCTTCGACAGATCCGAAGCATACAAACTCCACATACGCAGTTTTTCCTCCTGATGGCCAACGCCCATAACGGAGTCCGATAGACCAAGTCCTGAGTCTACACTTAGAAGAAGTGATATCTTTATATTTGTGCACGAATTGATCTCCCATACGAAAGTAATATGAACTCTATCTACAAGGTGTCCTATATCTACAGAAACGAAGACGACAACTAACAGGTCGTATGTTTAGAATCATTTGTGAGCTCTCTCTCTCGAACGCGCATTAGCTTAGATCAAGTCGTAGTCTATAGCTTGTCGTATAATCGTTGTATTTGGTTATTTGTATTCGTTTGTTTGAGATTTATTAAATTATACTTATGTTTTATTTTATCAGAATGTCTCCTCAATTTATTCCGAATCAGATCGCAAACGCGTGTTAATCCGCGTATAATAAGATTGATTAACTGGTGTCAAGGAATCCTGACGTAGATCCGAATCTCGCGATTTGGATCATTATTAAAAGCCCTCCTATAAGAACATTTAGGATCGGATCACACGATCTGAAACCTGGAGAACTAGTTTTACCAACTGGGTGTCGAATAAGTGGTACAAACAATCCTCCTCGAATTAGTACCCCCGGCTGATCTCACAGGAGGGATTAAAGGGGGTATGCTGTTGAACTTATGAAACACAAAGAATAATATAGTACCCTGGGATTTGGTGACCTTTAGATCTAAAAACACAATTTCTCCCTTCTTTTCCTTTTCCCAGGTAAAACTGATGTTAGAATAAACTTCCGTAAGATAACTTTTGAGGACATGGAAATCCTCCTACGTGTCTTGCCATGCTACAATAATATCATCATCCACGTATCTGAGATATAATAGTGGGTATGCTATCATGAGGAAAAAGCTAAAACCCTTTGCTCAACATGCCTCATGAGCAACTTCGCCAATATAGCAGAAAGCGGTGAGCCCATAGGAACCCCTTGTTTCTGCAGATATACTTTCCCGTTGAACTGAAAGTAATTATTTTCTGTGATAAAAAGCAGAACCTCATGAATTTCTAGAACTTGCTGCGCCGTAAAATACTCCTTGACAAGCAAAGCATTGGCAAATAGTTTGAAATCATTATTCAATAAAAGGATATTAACCATTTTCATCTGCCTGAAGATGATGAAAATAGTTTCATCGAAAGTGTTAGTAATTTATAGTGATACTTGTAAGTTGTTTAATGCCTGGATGATAATTTTCTTGTTTCTTGCATACTTAATATAAAATATCCTAATATTAAAACTTTAATATAATTTTTATTAAATCTAATTTAATGTTATATTCACGAATTCATCAAAATAGTCATTCATAAATGTTAAATAAACTTATTATTTTTACAATCATCATTTTCAGTAGAAATATTTCATCACTATTAGACTTCAAAACTAAAAAATATTTTATATTTAGTAATTATATTTTTGCAATTTACCAAATACATTATTTTTCTAAGGTAAGAATAAAAAGTCAGATATCAAGCAATAGTTTGCAATGTATATTCCTTTGTATGTATGCATTGCATTATCTATATATATATAACCCATTCAACGTGCATTGCATTATCTATATATATATAACCCCGTCTGTCCCGTAACCGTTTGATAACGGACACTAGAGGCGCCCCTATCGTGTGTCATATTTAAAACATTCAAATTAAATTAACAATTTTAATTATTATTTAAATGAACAATATAAATTATTATTATTCATTTGGCCAATAAATTATTATTTGGTCAATATAACAATATAAATAATTCA